GCTCCAGAGGTGTCCATGTGTAAGGGCTAACCAGCAGCAGTTTCCTGTACTGGCACGTCAGGCATAGGAGCAGGGTCAGGATATCCGTATTCTGAGAGCTCTGCTCCAGGAGACCAAGTGTGTTTTATCGTAAAGTAGTAGAGTCAGAGTTTTAGGTACCGAAGCATAGATGGATTGCCATAGTAGTGGAACTGGTGATGATAACTGCTGTGTGACAAACAATCAGACCCAAGCATATTTCTACCTTCACCAAGGAACTGACATGTAAAAAAAGACTTTTGGTTCTACTTTCTTGTCACTGCTTTACTTTAGTTCTCCAGGCAAAAAATATTTCAGCTAACAATCCAAAACAGAACAAAAAAGGTAAAAGGTAACCTCAGAACTCTCTCATTAGTAAAGAAAACATTCAGTGGCTAATAATAAAAATATTATAACAAACCATAAGCAATGTTAGGAACCCTAAATACCTCCTATAAATATAACACCTTGGAAAAGAAAACCTTAAAGAAGTAATTATTGATACATACAGGAGTAAACCTTGTCATGTCCTGAAGCAATACGCTCAGCTGACTGCATCCCTGTAAACAGCAAAAAATTAACAGCACAAAACATTACAATACCCAAAAGCTACAAAAGACAAAGCAAACACCAAGGAACCAACTCCATTGATACCCAAGAGCTGAATGAGGTCCCCAGTGAAACACTGGGCCTTGTATACCCCAGACAACAGCCACAAGCCCTCCCTCAATGCCCTAGGGCAGGGGTGGGGCAAACCATCAGCTGGGATAAAAGAGGCAGGGTGAGCAATGGGCTGTTATCTGTTCTGTCTGTAGCATGGAAAGGGTTGAGAAGAGACAAATGATTCTTCAATGCAGCAAGACCAGTAGTGTTTCTTCTGGGATGCCTGAGGCTGGGTACCAAAGAGGCTGTCCTCCAATGGAGCTTTAGGTGGCAAAGCAAAGGTTGGTTGCGTTGTTGTTGGCAGTGTTGCAGAACTCATCCTGTGTAAGTACTGCCCCGCTCCAGTTTTTTGTCCTGGTCCTTGGCTGTGGGAGCAGGGGCTGGACGCTCACCCTGTGTGAGCTGTGCTCCAAGTTGGCTGAGAAAGGATACCACAGAGGCCATTCACAGAAGGAGGTTTGGGTGGCAAAGTGATGGTGGCACCACCATGGTGGCGGCACTGTTTCAGAGCTCGCTGTGGGTACGTGGTGTCTGTGACAGAAACAGTGTTGGTTTTGCATGCTGGGGAGGGGACTTTGAAATATTCAGGCTTTGCAATACCGGAGCTGGGGCTAAGTTACTAAGGGAATGAAACGAAGGGTTTGAAATACCATGACTTAAAGAGACACACTCTGTGCTTCAAGGACAATGTCATCTTTGGGCAACAGACACACTCTGTGGTTCAAAAGGATGCTTTCTTTGTGCAACCAATGAAACTAAGCTGGTGCAGGCTGGTTCTGTAGTTAACCAGTAAGTTGAGGTAGCACATGTCTGCCAGAGAGTTGTGAAATCAAGCCATTAAAGGAGATAAATAAGAGGAAGGGGCATACGTACTAGAGTAAGAGGAGATGTAACCAGAGGTGGGACAGTTGACATGTAGGTTTTACATGTCAGATAGGCTGTAAACCATGGAGTACCCAAGCAGCAGGGAAATAAGTGGAGGGAACCTGTGGATGGGACAGGAAATGTAAATCCAAGCTCTGCTTTTGCTGTGTGTGCCTACTTGACAGGACACTGTTTTTGCACAGATGTTAAATGAACAGCTGCTTCACTGCTGTGTCTGACCGAGGCCTGCCTGAACCTAGGGACCATTTCTGACAGATCTGCTATAAATGTTTTTTTCTTAGCTGCAATGGGTGTTGCATTTCTGTTTTCTCTGTGGTTTAATTACAAATGATGGAGTGTCCCAGTTGGAAGAAAGGCTTTGTGTTTCAGTCGTTGCTGCTGGCACTTTTAGCAACAGAGATCTACACACAGGTGGATTGAGATGAGCTCTTGGGAAGAAATCCTTCCCTGTGAGGGTGCTGAGGCGCTGGCACAGGCTGCCCAGAGAAGCTGTGGCTGCCCCATCCCTGGCAGTGTTCAAGGCCAGGTTGGATAGGGCTTGGAGCAACCTGCTCTGGTGGAAGGTGTCTCTGTCCATGAGCTTTAAGGTCCCTTCCAACCCAAACCATTCTGTGATTCCCTGATTGCCTGATTTGTGGATGTCAGTCACTCTCCACTTCTCGTAGGTGGATGTGATGCCCTGTTCCATTGCCCAGGTTGAGCTGTGACCCCCTCACATGCCGCACCTCTGGATGAAAGGCACTGAAAACATGGCAGGCCGGCTGCAGGGGTATTAGAGAGCAGGCACGCTGCTGCAGGAGTACAGTGTGCTGCTTTATCTGAAGAGCATCATGCTTTAAAAGCAGCACCCCCCACCTATCCATGGCTCTCACCTTCCGTGTGCACCTACCTGGTGTGAGAAACTATTGAACGGATTTCTAGTGCCCGGGGAGACTGTCATAAGGGGAGAGTGGGTATCCCAGGTGCCCTTAGCAAGGTCTAGAAACAATTGAAACACCATGAACTAAAACATGAATTACTTTGAATTGTTTAATGTTGCGGATCTTTTTAAAATCCTGATTTATAACTGCAGTGCTTCTGTGGAACTCTTAATGCAAATGGTTAAACTTAGAATCACGGAATCACAGAATGGGTTGGGTTGGAGAGGACCTTAACATCACCTAGTTCCAGCCCCCTGCCATTTGCTTGTTCCTCTTCAGCCACCCCACACCAGCCCTGCTTGTGTTGCTTTATCTTGTTCTTTTTAAATTGAAAAAAATTACCTCTGTGTGACATGATTTCCTATCTCCCAGAGTCCTTGTGAGGCTAAAAGCGTGTCACATGCTGTGAAACAGCCAGGGGCACCACGGAGGTGTCTCCAGGGTGACTTTGGATCTGCAGGATCAGCGTGGCCGCCCTTTCCAGCAGCGGCCCGTACTTGGGTTGATTAAATGTACCATGAACCTGCAGTCCAAAGGGACTGGGAAAATGAATCTCCTATCCAAGCTTGGGTTTTTTTCTGCTCTGTTTGTTGGGAGACCCGTTCTAGAGCTATGTGCGCTGTTCACAGTTTCTTCTTCTTCCAAGAGAGGGCACTATTAGCTTTCCTTCTGCTGCTCTCAGAAGCAAGGGTCATCGTAGTAGTGTTGGCTGGGCTTTAAGTGCCAAGCCCGAGGTACAGGTCCCAGAAACTACACAGACTTTGCAAGCTTGGATCCTTTTGGAAGTCTCGGATATATGTGCATGTGTTTTCTATGTTTGCCCCATGGCAGGTCTGACCTTAGAGGAGAACACTGTGTCTGGAGGACACCACCAGGCTGTGCCAGAGCTGCATCCCAGCTACGTTTATGCCTAATCCAGTTTAGTTTGACCTAGCATGGCTTGGGCTCCACACACAGTGGAGAGGTCATATGCTGCTGTACGTCTTATCCATGAACATTAAACTCGCAGTCCTCTGGTTTTGATGATTTAACAGGCTTCAAGAGCCAGATGGAAACCTACACAACCGGCTGTGACATTTGTTAGCTGTACTTTCCCTCTTTAAATGAATGCCAGTACAAATATTGCTAAATAAAAGCAGTCTGTGAGGCAAGAACAACCATCTTTTTATCATCATCGCTCCTACCTGAGTGATGATGTCCAGTGAAGTCTAGTGCAATTCATAAATCTGTGCTCCATCAAAAAATAGGGAAAAAAAAACCCAAAGTGTCATCTTTATCCAGTATCGTATAGGCTGGTTTACAAACACTGTGCTATTTCTGAGCTAGCTCACTTTCACAGGGCTGTAACTCACCGAAGGCAGCAGTCTCTGGGGTTAACACATGCATTAAATAACATTCCTTCTGCTCTGGTTAGAGAGAAAACAGGTTTTGAAGCAAAAGGCTTTCTGCAACAAGAGCTCTGGTGTTGGACTTCACACAGATGGTGCTTATTAGAGAGATTTCAATTCCCAACAAACAGTTTAAGGCACCACCTGACCTGCAAATCCGGCTCCTCTCTCAACTGACCAGCAACAACAATCCACACTGTGGGACTGGGGTGTAACTCCCCCACATGTACTTACAGGTGGGCTCCAAGCAGGACAAGGATATGGGGAGCAGTCACCGCGCTGAGCAGGATATGTCCTTCCCGAGGTCTGCCATGGGTCTGACTCAGGTGAGTGCTGACACAAGACCTGAGCCTGTCTCTGCCAGCAAACATAATGCAACTTTAAGGAGGCTGAGTCCCCTTTTCCCCATTCCTCAGCACACACCTTTGGTAACTGCAGGCTCTTCTTTCTTGCCAGACCCATGCCTGGTACAAACACCCTTTGTCAAACACTGCTGTGTAAGTGTTGCCCCAGTTGGCAGCCTTAAGACAGGAATGAGCAAAGCCATCTGTGACCAGTTATGGCTGAAACGTGACCACCCCACAGAGCTGTGGTGAAACCCTTCCACGTGCAGTGCTGCAGTAGGTCTATCCCATGTGGTCTGACTATGGCTGGGGACCTCCTCAGCACATTGGCTCCTTTATTGGCCACCTTGGAAATACCCTGTGTGATCTGATGTAATTATTACACGTTCAGATTAAGGGCTGGCTCTGTTGTTTTCCTGGGTTAAGTGCTGCAGGGTGAGGCTCACTTAGCACTGCTGCTAATAATGACAAAGCACTGGAAGAGACTTGTATTCCTCTCCTATCTTTAAATAGCAATTTTCTTTATCTTATCTGAACCTACCATATCCTGTGCAGGCAAACAGGGGGGTTTGAACTGCAGCCTTGGCGTTTTTTGGCCGTCTTCTTTTGCACCCTTTGTCACACAGGAGGTGTATGGATGTACAACAGATATTTCAGTTTCCTTCTCAATATTAATTATTATTCTTCATAATATCAGTACTAATTTAGAGAGCTACTTACTAATTTTCTCAAGCTAGCTGATCACTAAGGGGGAGAAAAAAAAAATGCCCCAAAAGCAAAGGTTTATTTAATTACTTTTATTAAAATAAAAATATCATGCAGTAATACGCATTAGACATTTCTGAGAACCAGTAATATGAAGATTAAGACTACATCATTTCTGCATAAAATAGGTTGAGCTGGTAAAACATGCAGCCTACGTATTTGAAGGGACTGGATGGAAAGATGAAAATGAGAAAGGTGCTGTAGTGGCTTTTTTTTTTTCCTGTGTACAAAGTTCATTTATGAAGACAAAAATGATTTAATTTACTAATTGTGACACCAGGGACTATCCAGGCTGTATGTGCACTGATAGTTCCAGCTCCTCTCTTCTTTACTGTCTTGTCAACCCAGATGCTCTGTTGAGGACCCTCTAATTCCTTTAACCTTTGTGTGCTACATGTTCCACCAGTTGGGTAATTACGTGCCAATGCTCAGGGGATGCTGGAGTTTCATTTGACCAGCTTTGCTAACAGAATTCCTTATTCTGTCTAGTATAATATCATTTAAGTCACCAGTGTGACTCTGGTCAAGACTTTGTTTGCCTTTCCTTACAAGGGAGCCCCAGAACACAACCAATGTATGTTACTTATATTGAGCCAACAATATGGCTCATATGCCACATATCACACGGATGAGCTTTTGATGGATTGCTTTGACTCTGCTTCTGCTATTATCATGAAGGTGAAATGAGAACCTGCCATGCAATTCAAAAGAGCAGCTTTTATTAGCGCCCCTATAAGCAGCACCTGGGCTTTCATATTGCACTTCCAATGATCACAAGTGTTGGCTGTATTATTGCTCACATTATGAAACTCGGGCACTGTGCATGCAGAGAGTCAAAGAGTCTCAGAGAGAGGAAAGGGTCCTGTGATTAGCTTCACTAAGCCCTGGATAAATCCCCAACGTGACAACTTTCATCAGAAAAGGAGTTAAAATCTAAGCCCATCAATAAAGAACCCTTAACGCGAGTTCTTCTCTGGCTACAAACCCTACAAGCTAGCCACTGATTTTTCCTCCCCCCACATACAACAGTATATTACAATAAAAGTTCTCAAAAAATTAAAAACAATTAAAAAGAATAATATACACCTCATTTTTATCGCTCAATATACAAACAATCTTTGATCAACAGTATAAACCATTAAACCATACAAAAGTCAAAAGAGTTTCTTATTGTACAAATAGTGCTTTCATAGACGAGTAACTTTACAATGCTGCGAGGGTACCGTCTGTATCTGTGGATATATTGCTTGACAGTTTATTAAAACCAAGACATTATACCTTATACTCGGTTGATTGCATCAATACAAAGCAGCCTAAAAAGGGCAATGGATCCATAGGATCTCTGATTATTGCGAGGGATTTTCAAAAATCACTCAACATTAGCCTTGTTTTATACTCTCAGTGTAATCAAGTTAAACATCCCATTAAATTCAAGGGGAATGATATTAGGAATGTAGGATTAAAAAAGCAACCTAGGTATGGGAGTCAAGCCTCCTACCATTGCAGACACCTACTTTACTTATTCCCTTTTGTAAAAGATGAGGATTACATTGATGGTGGTTGCAAACGAGCTCTCTGCAGCTGGCTTGGGAGAGGTAAGAAGAAGGGGCTGGATGAATTCCAGCGTGAGTGGAACCTATGTACTGTACCAGCTACATCAGAATGACACCTTCCACCAGTCCAGTTGTTAGTGACATGTTTGATTTCTTGTTTTCACCTTATTAATCAGAAAAATCTATTGCTTCAAGGCAAGAGGTACAGAGGGACCATATGGCCCATACTGTCATGCATGCAGTCCTGTCCACACCATCTAAGCAGACAAGAGCAAAGTTGGAGGAGCACCAGCCCTGAGTCTTGGCCAAAGGCTGGCTGTCTTCAGAGGTGCAGTAAGTGGCATGTCTTTTGCCAGCTAATTCTCAAACTATCAGTTTTCTCTCTGAAAGCCCTTTTTTGGATGCTACTGAGGGTTTGCTTCACCAGTAACTGTGGTACTAGCACTGCACTCTTCTCTCCCTGCATGGTTGCATACAGTACCTCCGACCAACCCGCAGCTCTCAGTCTGCATGGCCATGGTACTACAGGTGATCTGCCAAAACACACAATGTCAAACGGAGGCAGGATGTGTGGCAGGAAGCGAAGCATGTCATGGAAGTGCCATGATTTCAACTCCCCCATGTAATTAAAGTAATACATAACCAAAACTGCTATCAGTTTAAAGTCTCACTGCCTGCCTACACACTTCCTCACATTAAAAGCAGTTATCTCATCATGTCTCATCTTCACATAATTGTATCTTTTCCCGATACCAAGCCAAAACATCATGTATTTGTTTCATTTTTTCTTGACTGTGCCCCTGTTTAGCTGTTGCGTTGAGTAGAAAATAAATCAAAATGGAGTAGAGGTTGTAGATCTGGCCCTGAAGTGATAACTGGTCCTCATATTTGGTTTGGTCTTTCTATGGACAGGCCTCATCCTCCTGTCAAGCCCTCTTGGAGGTCTGGCCAAGCCCCAACAAAGAGTGGAGATCTGTATAGCTTTTCCCTGTAATGAGAGGCTGTGGAAGTGGTGATCAATACCCTATTCCTTTAAAGCAACAAAACAAGACATTACATCTTTGGTCCTAATGCAGCCCATTTGGCAAGCTACTTGAAGGTGTCATGTTTTGTGGAGGTTTTTTTGTCTATTTTTTTGAGTTATTTTAAAAAGGCTCCTTAGAAGTTGTATGTCAGAACAAAGAGGTAACACTTACAAAAAGAAAGCTAGAAAATGGGATCCCAATATAAAAATTTGAACCAGTGGTGATAAAACATTACAAAGCATCCTTGCTAAGTGTTATACACAGAGCTTGACATTCCATGAGTATACAGTTTCCATCAGGAAGGAGGACACAGGTACATTTTCATACTTTGTCCTGATTCAGATGTTTTCTCACAGGGAATCGCAGGGTGGAAACAAAAGCCAGAGTACACCAGAACCGCTGATCTGGAGAGGCAGCGGTGGTGCTAACAGAAGATGTTGAACTCTGAATGTGAAAAATGAGCGCTTGTCTGGAAATGCAAAGTTTCTCCTTGGCACCCTGGAGCACCCCCAGACAGACAGAGGACACCCCAGACACCTTGTGATGGGACCTGTTTGGGGTCCTGTGACATCATTATACGCCTAACTGCGTCTCCCAGGGAAGAGGAGAGATTCACCCCATAGTACAAGTGCCATGTACATTGGTTTCACACAGGAAACCTCTGCAAGAGGGCTTCAAGCTGGTAGCAGGGACAGGAACAGCGTGTCTATTCCCACCCATACCTGCAGGAACAGTCACTGGCATTAGTAATGTCCCTGGACAATTTGATAGCTGCTTTGGGTACGGACTGCCTGGCTGCACCCCTTCCCGGGCATTACTCTCCCTACACAAACCCTTCCTTTCAAATACACCACTGGACTGTATTTTCTAATGCTGGGGCTTCACATGGCCATCCGACGGTGATGCTGGTGGGACAGGGCATCAACTGCTATCTAGTTCCAACTGTTCTCAATAGAAAACTCACTGCATTGTTTCCTGCCAGCTGGAAACAAGAGCAAGCCCCCAGCCTCCTGGATGAATTTACCTGACAAGATCAATTGCAGCATGAAGGAAATTTCCCAAGCCAACTCCCTTTGCAGCACCCAAGGCCCAGATGAAGTCAAGTACACAAATCACTGGAAAAAATCAAAGTAAGATGAAGCCTCCCAACTCAACTTACATTTTCATATACTTAGCAGTTATTAAGTCTTATTATTGCAAAAGCAGTTGCATGTTAACTGCTGCTTTATGATCAAGAGACGCTAAGCCCTAACGTGCGAGCGGTTTTATTTTGCCTTGCTTGAGAAATACAGTAAAAAGGGAAGTTTTAATTTCCTGGATTGACAAGACTCTGTCGGCTCATACAAGCATCTGTGGCCTCCTACATTTTTCTATTTAGTTGCACTTTAAAAAATCAGCATTTTCTACCCCAAACCTCCTGAGAGACAATGGCAGAACTTTCAGGTTATTTCTGGATGCTGAGTTATGCTGCCTAAACATGTTCACCTTTATGAGCACCCATAATTCTCAGGATGCACCTTGCTGTTCAATACTCAATGAGCTGCCGTGGGAAAACCAGACCATTTCAGCTGCTTATTGATCCTTCTCCTTTTTATCATCCCTATGGAAATCATTTGGTACATTGCTAATGTCTGTTACCCTACGGACATCACCAGTGCCTCCTGCAACAGCCACACAGCTGTCCAGTCCCACCTGCTCCCAGTGCTGCTGCATCTGGCCCTGCAAGTTCTCCCTGGAATCTGTATATTCACATCAAGAGTTTGTGGTCCTACATCCTCTTTCCTACTTTTTCATTAAACAAACACATTCAAAAAGCAATGCTCTTTCAAACTTACATTGCTTGATTTTTAGATGTATCTCCTTGCTTCTATCAAGGAGTTGCTACTGAATCCCTCCTAAATTGTCTTAAAAGGCCAAGCATATTAACCTATATTCAATCATTTTTATGCTACATAATGCTGGCAATACATACTGCTACTTTTTAGTGGCTTTCTTGTTTTAGCTAACAGATCAAAACAAAACATCAATAAATTCCTTTGTGCAATGGTGTCAGAAAGATTCCTCAGGAGAACACGCACACCATGACTTTTCCAGTGTTCTGCTTGGAGATTTAACAACAGATTTAGCAAATTGAAAATGATCTGTGATTTCTGTTGAGATCTTTTTTTGGGTTTATGTACATTCCTCCCGGGGCGGTGGGTGGAGGAAAGCGGCGCTGCCTGTGCATACATGTTGCACGCTTGTGAGAGCAACACAACAAATCTGCTCTCAGGAATGCAGGGAGAAATCTGCCACTAATTGGACGTGGGAACTAAATTCTGGTTAATGTTTTAAATGCAAGTCAGTCATAATCAAAGCCAAACACTGCATTCTCCACACTGCAGTGCCTGCGTCTCGGTCACAGTGACACGCATGTACCAAAGAGGAAAATCTTTGGATTTTGACCCGATATACTGCTTTAGCTACAGCATGGCCGATGAGCTACTGCACACACACAAGATACTAATGCATTTTACACCATGTTACTTATAAAAGGGGTCATTTCACATGACAGCTCTCCTTCTTTCCTCAATAAATCTGTAAAAACGATGTTCTGAACATTTTCCGCTTGATCCTGGACTCCAGATGCAATACTTAAACTGAAACACATCCTGATGTATTCAGAACATGGTAGTGGCATAAATCTATTTCTAGCTACTTTATAGGCTACATATCCTCTGCAACTTAGCTGCTTATGCTACCCTCAAGCAAGCTGCCAATGTTCAACTAGTTAAGGGCCTTTATAGCAAAATCACCAAATGCGCATTTGCTTTGTGATCTAGTGGTCTGATTAAAATCGTACTGCCAATGCTGGTGGCATGCACCTAAATTACTGACTAAATTCACACGTTAAGCACTTTACTCATCCTACATTCATAAGAAATGTTAATGATGGAAGAATTTGAAGCTCTGTGTCACAGGCCCCTGGAAGGAGTAGCTGCTTTTGCTGCTGTGATCGATTTATACAGTCAAGCTAAAATCACAGCCTTGCCTCGCCTGCCTGTTCCACACTGGCAACAGAAGATGATGCTGGGTATTTTAAAGAAGCAGTAGGCAGCCCTGTGTTTCAGAAGAGGGAGATCATATTTTCCATCACTCCAGATTATTCTTCCTTAACTCATTGCCACTGCCCCTCCTAGATTGCCAGGCTATGTAACCCCAAAGGGACAGGCAACCAGCCCCAGCCTCTGCCCCAAGCAATTGGCAGTATTCTGCCTTGAAGTGAGTGAAGCGTAACACTGATATACCCCTCTTCTTTGCCAGATGTACAAGGGAAAATTACTTCTGCTCTGTGCCCCTTTAAGAAGGGAAATAAAACATCTTGCTACCTGTGTTTCTTGCCCTAGTCAAGTTTAATTTAGGGTAGTTCTTCCAGTCTGTCTTGTGAACGCTCCAATTTGCCATTATTTGCATTTCCTTGACATTTAATTAAAGTCTGTTAAATGTTATTTGACACTTCATTTTTCAATTAGGGCAACATCTTTAACAGTTCTGTTGGAGAAGAAAGGCATTTTGACAACTTGACAGCCGCATAAGGGATCAGAAAACAAATGTGTTGAGTTTGACCATCAGAAAACAGAGTAGCAAGCACTTTGTATCCAGGTACACGTGACTCTGAGGCGACTTCCTCCTGGCAGTTTTTAGCAGTAGTGGTCAGTAAGTGATGCGTCGTGCCGTTTCGCTTCTTGTGCTAGTTTTCCCTGGAGCAATCCACTCCATACAGGCCCTGGGCAGAGTCTCCCACATGTCCCCCAGATGCACTTCTCCTCTTTGTGCCAAGAGGCAGTATATGAAGCCAATTTGTAAAAAATCCGGTGGTTTGGGAAAACTGTTTCTGTTCTAGGAGTATTGGAAAACTGTTTAGAAACATAAGGGTTTGTTTTCCTGCTGGTGATCTGAGCACCACATAGCAGACCAGCAGCACAAGTGTCTGATCAGGTAAAAGATCCAAAAATTCTCTTAGAAACATTTATAAAAATACAGGCTGTAGAAAGGAATCTAAAACTGTACAATGTGTACAGCTCTTGAGTTCATCCCAGAGTGGCTTCTCACCGTGCTACCATCTGACAATGAAAGGAATGCATCCATGTTTCTTTTGTCCGGGAAGATCCCAGTCCATCACAACATCCATCTGAGTGCAGGTTATGGGCCTCAGTTATTACATGGAAATAGGCAAGAAAAGACCCAAACTACCATCAAATAGACCTCACAGTTTCAGCCCTTGTGCTGAAAAGGAAAAGTGTGCTTCTCGATGCATTGCAGTTGCTGTCCGCTGTGAGCAAGCGTCTATTCTTGCAGCAGCCAGGTAGTTCACCGAGAGTCTGGCTTGCCTCACTGCAAGAAGTAATCCTCTGTGGTCATGCTGAGGCTTCAATGTATTCACTTTTTGGTGCTGCTACCCTCAAGTACTCCGGGTTTTCTGCTGCGGGAACTTTCAGGAGACCGTTAGGTTTGGTTTCCTTCGGTAAGAAGTCCTGCTGGTAGTCAGGATTGTCCAGATTTATTTGGTGGTTGCCTGCCTGGATCCAGTAAGGAGAGGTCTCAAAGACTGTCTTGGCCAGCGGAGACTGGTTGGTGTTGAGATACTCAGGGTTGTCCACAGCTGTGCTGTGTGAATTCTGGTAGCTGGAGTCTGTGGGGACCTTTGAGTTTGCTGTGAGAGAGAAGTTGTTGTAGATTGGATTCTGGACTGCTGAGGCAGAAGTTTTCTTGGGCACCAACTGGTTTACATACTCTGGAATAAAAGGAAAATAAAAATAAGAAGGAATGAAAATGAAGGCATATAACTAATGCAGCCATTTGCATCACTTGAGGTGTACGTTCAACCCAGCTGCCACTTGCTCTTTGCACACAGCACCTCACAGAAGGACAGACTCATAGAACAGTTAGGGTTGGAAAGAACCTTAAGATCATCGTAGTTCCAAACCCCCTGCCATGGATAGGGATGCCTTCCACTAGAACTGAACTTCCCAGAGTGAAAAGAGAGCCAAAGACAGGGACTGACATGCCATGGCACCACACATCCTGCCCTGAAGTTCACCTTCACGAATCCAATTTGCAAAGCCCCAGAAAGACGCCTTGGACCACAAGACAGCGAGATAGCTACTGCTGATTTTAGTGACGTGTAGGTGGCTACGTCCCAGATACTGTTCTGAAACTGCAGTCTGGGAGCTTAGCTGCCAGGAGCTGTTTCCCTAGAAAAAACGCTTAGAGATGAGAAAAATACTGGACTGGCGATAACAGGCACTACACATTTCACTCCAGTGCCATCCCTTGCAGCATCTTTCACCCTTTGTAGCTGTGGTGTATTCTTGGAAGGGTTGGTTGGGATTTTTTAAGGTCACAAAGCATCATGACTGCACAACCCGGCATCAACTCCCTCGGTGCTCTTTGGCTCACTCTTCAACCGCCTACGATGTAACCATGAGCTGCCTTCTGTGTATCAACATCTGAAGGCAGTTGAACTGCCAGAAAGCTGTTTATGTTGCTAAAAAGGTTTAAGGGGTGAAACCTAGGTTTTAGAGGATATTTTTCCAAGTATGAAGCTTTAGACACATAACTATACATGCAAACTCCCCGGCCAGATGGCACATGTGATGACCAGGAGGAACCTGGCTGGTGAAGGAACTGAAATGAGAAATGGCCAGAAGCAGCCAGATAAAATCTAGGAAAAGGATATGTGCACACATTTCCACTCATGTTTACTGAGCAAAAAAAGGTAGGAAGCATATGGGTTGCTTCCTTTCTGCAGAAAAGGAAGGACAATGATTACATTCACAACTGAATGGCTCGCAAATTAGTGGCCATGGGATGGAAACACAGGAGAGGTACTCACCTGGGGCTGGCAGAAAGCCGTCATCTATGCTGTCCTCCAAGAAAGCGCCTGTTGGATCTGAGCTATACCTCTGGACAAAGCTGTCTTCCCTCACAGGATGCCCCTGCTAGGTTGGAAGTAGAGAAAATCCATATTAAAGGCACTATTTTGTAGAAATTGATCCACATAGAAGTTGCTCCTTTTTCAAAGGTCATCCCACTTACCCCGTTCCTGTCAATGCAGGTTGTAGCAGAGTTGTTGCTAGTAGCACTCTGAAAAAGAGAGAGAAAGAAAACACAGACATTACAAGAAGCAGTTCACTCTTCAGATTGCTTGTCATGTTTCCAAAGAAGAAGAGTTTCATACCAGTGAACTCAAGAGAGGAGTGCGGGATGTTGAAGGGCTGTTGAAAAAGCCCTGGTGTGGCACGAGATACTCATCAGCGTCCACTATATCTTCCATGTCCTCCTCCTCCATAAGGGTGCGATAAAACTTGGAGTCCGTAGGGCTGGGCAGGTGCATCCTATCATCTCCCTGTGAGACAAGTCAGCGTGAGAGAGGTTTAGGGTTAGGCTTCCTTCAAGCCCACATTATTCCCTTCTCTGAGACACAAAGTAGTTTAGCAAGAGGCCCAAGATGCAAACTCTTGATCTGTGTGTTTATCCAAATTTACCTGGAGTTTAGGGGAATTTGGGCCTGCAATCTCTGCTGTGAAACAGCTGCAATTTTTAAGAGGATCGAACTGCTCTCCTCTTAGGACTGCAGTATGGACTGTTACTGGTCCTACACTGGGACAAGTCCTAAGACAATAGTGACTGGTCTTGAAATTCTGTTGGTGGTTGGTTCTAGCTGAATGTGTAAGACCTTGAAAGCAGCAATAAATCACAGACTCATAGAATAGTTAGGGTTGGAAAGCACCTTAAGATCATCCAGTTCCAACCCCCTTGCCATGGGCAGGGACACCTCACACTAAGCCATGCCACCCAAGGCTCTGTCCAACCTGGCCTTGAACACCGCCAGGGATGGAGCATTCACAATGTCCTTGGGCAACCCATTCCAGTGCCTCACCACCCTACTATGTGTTTTCAGACGCATTACTAATGATTTTGTGCCCCATATTAAATGCCCATCAGACACGTTCCTACCACTGGGTTTAGTACCTGTATAACGAGATAGCGTGGAGGGTCACGGGCCATTTTTGAGAACTCTGCTATCAGTTCACGGAACTTGGGACGGCTGTCTGCATCAATCATCCAGCCTGGAGGGACAACAGGGGGAGCAATCAACAAATAAGGTTGGTTTTGGTGATAAAACACAGAGCTTAGAACGAAACGTAGCAGCAAAAGGAAGTGTCCTGGATGGAACAAAGAAAGGAGTTACCCAGAAGGGACCACCATAAAAAGTTCAGTCACTGGTGTGAATTTCAGCATTTAAAATGCATATCTTGGCATTGGATTACTCCAAAATAGCCTTGAAAAAGCTATTGAGGGAGGGGAGAAGCAAACTAACTTCAGTGGGTCCCTGCAGAGGTACGGTGATTTGACTGTCTAGTCACTGCACGGCTTTGTGAAATCCTGGGAAGCCTAAAACAGAAGCTACCCTCTGTACCAGATGTCTTTTAAAATTCAAAACATCCTCTCTGGGGACATTCTGAAAGATTAACTGTATCTAAGCTGCATTCAATTAGCAAACGGACTTCAGCAAAAACAAGTCCTACAGCTTAGTGTGGATTGATGCTAGAAGAGATTTCTAATATAGATAGTGGTGGTTTTACATGTGATATCACTTAGGAAACCCACACTTTCTGTTATCAACTAACAGATGAGCTGATGAAGAAACTCTTTATGTTTAAAAATAATGAAGGTCAAGCTTTGTATGTCTGAAGAACCCATGAGAAACAGCCTATCCATGGTAATGGAGAAGACAAGTGATAATACGCCATTTGAAAACTGCATTAGACAAAATCTCATCATTGCCAGTGACTTTTTACCATGGTAGAAGGAAGAATTCCTTCTTGCTTTTAGAAAGAGTGGGGCCTTTGGGAGTTTGCTCCTGTTGCAGAAGTAGCATCTCCTATTCCTGAATTTCTGAGTTGCATCTGTTTAAATTCTGCTTCTTTAAAAAATGTTGTGGATTAACTTTGAACATCTCAGTTTATACTCTCTGCTTATAAGAGATGAATGGGCCTTCTGAATTCCTACAGTCAAACTGGCACGGCTTCAACAGGGGCTGCCCTGTAGCCTGTAGACATGAAGGGAGAAGAGCAATGAAAAATGTGGAGCTGAGTCCTGTGGCAGAAGGAAGGCTCAACCCCTTGATCCTTAAGCTCACACTTAAATTCAGTGTAAGGGTATGATAGAGGATGGAGACACCCCACTGGTTGTGTTTTAAAAGCTGCAGGTACCTGGTGAGGTGTCTGCAAAAATGCCTCCTTTCTGCATCTGGACTGGCCCAAAGGAAAGGCAATGGGCTGAGGTGTCTGTAGGGTTCAGCACCTCTGAGGATGATGAGATGCGTTTCTAGAACACTGCTTTTGGGACTGGGTACCTCCCAGGGTAGGTGCACACCTCTGGTCCCGATTCCTGCTTGCCTCGCTGAGCACAGGATCAGGCTTACCCTGTGTGGTGCCTGTCCCAACAAAGCAATGTGTGGGTGCTCCAAGATTCCCCAAGTGCTGTGCTATGGGGTGTTCATGGTAGTGTGGCTCCTATTTCAGGAACAGGTACATTTTCCTCTAGTTAGAAGGTTTTCTATGCCACCTAGTGGGCTGCTTATCAGCATCCTCTTAATACGGAGCAGGGATGTTGCAGCCATAGCCTAGAGGAAGCCACATAATAATCTAACATGTTAGCAGCTGACAGAGGTGCAAAAGGGGTTTGGGGTTCAGAAGTCCTTTGACATGCCCTAAAAATAGCTGAAAAGTGCTTCAGAGACCCCTCAGCTTTTGCGCTACTTTACTGCAACAGCTGTCTGCCAAAGAAGGGCCTCATTTTCATTCATGAAATGAGGGAGAAATTGGATGAGGAAGTCCAGATACTCATGTGCATCTGCCGTCATTGTGGTGTCTGTGCTCCCGGCACTCCTTTAGTAAAAGGAGTACATAAATCCATGTGTGTGATTCCAGAGGGGAGGCATATGACTGAACTAAGGGGGAGCCTGGAGGAGAAGGTAGTGTTGATTCTATTCTCTAGACATACAAAACCAGAGTATCAGGTACAGTGGGTGGTGCTATGCTAAATCGTACTGCCTGGCAATATCAGCCTAAAGTAACTGACTGTCGGTCAGTGGTGTGAATGGTGAAAACAGCATCAACTGTTTGAATCAGTGACTAATGAAACCATATCCTGTACTCCTAGCTAACACTGCAGGTACAGGAACACGCTGGTATCATCACTCTTATCACATAACCCTGTGCCATCACCAAGAACACAGCATATACAAATACTGCACAACGAGGGCAATCGGGCTACTTATGCAACTTAGGTGAGCACACACAACCCCAAACGGAAACTCACATTTGACCATGATCATGTACACGTCAATGGTGCAGATAGGAGGCTGGGGCAAACGCTCGCCTTTCTCCAAGACAGAGGAGATCTCACTGGCAGGGATCCCTTCGTATGGCTTGGATCCAAATGTCATCAGCTCCCAAACTGTCACACCTGCAAGGGGGAAGAGAAGACCATGACAGAAGCTTTACCAGGCGCCAGGTTGCTTTGCTTGGGTGCAGAGAGGTGTGAGCAGAGAGAGCTCTCACAGAGGCACTGCATTGCCAGAGCCCCACCCAGGGAAAAACGTGGTCTACCATGATTTTAAAGAGAGACAAATTAATAAAGCAGGTTGAAATCACCCTGCTTCCCTTTAAGGCTTTGGTTTCTACCACTCTTTCCCCTCCTTCCCCTGTTTATTTTTTATAATCTCAGCTACTATCTCAGTATTCAACATCCCACCAACTTCCCAGCCCCACAGGAAGGAAATGCAGGTTACTGCCTCTTGACTCCAGCCCAGCAAGTGGCTGGAGTAAGTTTGTCTTTTTGTTTGAAAATCTAAGTTGCCTTTTTGTTTAAAAACAATCAATCTCTCTGGAGACGAGCAAGAGCAGTTTTTGAAAGACGTGTACACCAGCTGCCCCAGTGTCATCTGCTGACATACCACGTACTCTCGTGATGTAGCCGTTGTGATTGTCTGGTAGCTTAGGATACAAAACAAGGTTTTGGATGCCAAGATACATAAATGGATTAGAAGGACCAGAGGCCATACTTCTTCTAAAAGGATACAGGATCTGACCATCTGCATTGAGTATTTTCCAGGAATACAAGAGCCCACGGAGTGGAAATTTTGTAATAAGATACTCTGAAAAGTTTCCTTTTTGCTCCTTTTTCTTTCAAGCTGGCTGATGAACTATACCAAATGTAAAACTGGTATATAAACCTCTCTAAGGAGGTTTTTACTTTCCTCTCCTTTTGGCCTTGTCCTTTCAATACCAAGACAGCACAAGCATTTTAGGTCACAGCAGTGATACTAATTGACACTGACCAACAGTGTGGCCATTGCTTTTAGGTCCTCTCTCTAGTTATGTGGCTTTCCTGTCAGCCAAGTTATATTATTTCATGGGAAGCTGCTGAAGAAAAGCATCCGGAGAACTTCAGCAAATGAAGCAGTCTCCTACCTGCAGCCCCTTTCAGGGGAAGGACTCATCATCTGAAAGCATGTTCTCCAAAACATCTTACACCTCACTAGCATGTGATTTCATGGAACTTTTACTTTGTTGAATAGTTTTGGGACCACTGTTCATGTTTAATCTCTCAGTCTTCTCATAATGGGAATGAAAAAGGTCCGCATAGAGTCACTAGCCAATCCTGTGATTCTCCAACCCATTTGCAATTACTGTAACTGGTTTTAGACTCACCGTAACTCCAGACATCGCTTTGATGAGTGTAAATCCGATGTAAAATTGACTCCAAGGCCATCCATTTAATAGGAACCTAGGAAAATTCACAAGCAAGCCTTAAGAGGCCGGTCCAAAATTTATGAGGGATATTTGCCACCAGGTGGTGTGTAAACCTACAGTTTGGTTACAGAAGTGAAAACCCAACCAACTACAACACACAACTATCTGAGTGGTAGAGCAGGCAACTTTTGAGTCTTATTATTATTTTCATTTATTATGTTGAACCTGGGAACTTGTGAAATATCAGGCATATTAGAAATCTCTCTTACAAATTAGTTTTGGATACTTTTAATGGTCAGATTACTGTTTTTTTAACCTTCTATCACAACAGGACACAAATCCAATCTCAGGCTGTAGAGCCTGACAAAGACTGATCTGCACTCATATGGTTTCCATTTATGGTCTCTGCAATATTTGCAAGCAGTTTCTCTTTAATTTCTCAGCAGGACACATTCCCTCCATCAGCACGCAGTATAACACGAAGGCGTGTTGAACCAAGTCTGACAGGTCTTTCTTCTGCTATAAATACACAGTATTCCCTTTCTCTTCCTAAACTGCACAGCATTATTGGTGTTGGCTACACTGATGAATTCAGCCATGCTTTTTTTTTCTTTTTTCCTCCTCTTTAATGTTTTTTTAATAATCTTGCTTTTTCCCAGACATTCTGGGTGGGAATTTCAAACGCATTCGCTGCTCTGCTACCTCTGCTCCCACTGCAGTCCCACTGGCCTGACACTGCTTCGGCTGATTTCAGAGGACTTCCTCAGGCTTCAAAGGCAGCATGCTGAGACGGCAGCTGAGTGCTTTGAAAAACACACTTTCTTTCCCCCCCTCTATGTTCAAGGCTTGCGCACAAGCACAAACACCGACGAACGCACAGCAGCGGCTCATTCTCCGATGCGCTTTACCTTGCCTCCCTCGGCGTGATACTCCTTCTCGTCAGCACCGAGCAGCTTTGCCAGCCCAAAGTCTGTGATTTTCACGTGTTGAGGAGTCTTAACAAGGACGTTCCTGGCAGCAAGGTCACGGTGCACCAGGCGACGCTCCTCCAAATAGTTCATTCCCTGCAATACAACAAACTGTTGGTGGGCATCACATGCTTTGGGTTTGGATCACAGAATCCCAAGGGTTGGAAGGGACCTCAAAAGATCATCTAGTCCAACCCCCCTGCGAGAGCAGGGTAACCTAAAGTACATCACACAGGAACTTGTCCAGGCGGGCCTTGAATACCTCCAACGTAGGAGACTCCACAACCCCCCTGGGCAACCCGTTCCAGTGCTGTCACTCTCACAGTAAAGAAATTTTTCCTGATGTTCACATGGAACCTCCTATGCTCCAGTTTACACCCATTGCCCCTTGTCCTATCACTGGACATCGCTGAAAAAACCTAGCTCCATCATCCTGACACTCACCCTTTACATATTTGTAAACATTGATGAGGTCACCCCTCAGTCTCCTCTTCTCCAAGCTGAAGAGACCCAGCTCCCTCAGCCTCTCCTCATAAGGGAGATGTTCCACTCCCTTAATCATCTTTGTGGCTCTGTGCTGGACTCTTTCAAGCAATTCCCTGTCCTTGAACTGAGGGGCCCAGAACTGGACACAATCATCCAGATGTGGCCTCACCAAGGCAGAGTAGAGGGGGAGGAGAACCTCTCTTGACCTACTAACCACACTCATTCTAATGCACCCTAGGATGCCATTGGCATGTGCAAACAAGTGAGAGCACCACCATGGACATGTGGTAATCTATCCCACCTTCAGAAGAAGGCTTCCTGTTTCAATTTATGTGATGTTTATTGCAGGGTGAGGACAGTTACACTGAGAAATAACTATCACCCTCCAGGAACGTTTTTTGTAGGTCCACACACCGGTGAATTGATGAAGAAAAAAAGAGACAGTAGCAGGTATATATATAGCAGGGGATGAGATTCCTCACAGGACTTTCAAATAACACTCCTTGCAGCTGCACTTGTGCAACCCAAGTGACTTCAGGAGAGTATAATACAGAGTTCAACTATCACTTTCCACATGCACGTAGACCAATCCTACAGAGAGTATTTAGAAATTATTCATTCAAAGCTGCAGATATTGTGCCTTACTCTACCTTCTCCCTGCTAACAATGAGGTATCCCACTGCAAATATGAGAAAAAGGGGAAAAACAGTAAACAATTTTGCTCTATGGCTGAGCTCAGAGTTGTATCTGTTTACAGATGCCTCTTTGAAAGGCACGTACTTCTTTGAAAAGGCAGTTTCACTGCCTGCCATGATTAAACTGGGTTTCCCATGGCATATGTGCTTTTTTGATACAGCTGCCCCCCTAGGAAGAATACAACTAACTGTGCCGGTTTGACTTCTAAAGCATAAATCAGCTGTGTTTCTGACCACAGAGATTATTCCCCTTTCCTTCAACACCAGTTTTGGTGCATGGAATCAAAAAGTTCATGATTTCTAAGTTTCCTGCAAGATCTAACCACAATTATTCCCAGTCCATAGGCTTTTGCTGGTGCTTGTATTTTTATGAAGAGGAAATTAATAAAAAAGCACTTGTAACCTACAAAGTTAACAGCAAAATGATCATGTTGATGAGATGACAGAGCACTGGAGGGAATAATTCCCTTCCAGCCTCCCCCCCTTCCTAAACCCACTGCTAACCTGGACCACCATGGAATCCTCCACCCAAGTCCCTCAGCAGAACTTCACCCATGTGCTGCTGATGTTGCCAAAACAAACCACCCAAACAACCTGGAGCAATGCCACTACGAGCATGCATTTCATTACACAGATAGTTCTTCAGCAAGCAGAGCTCTGGAAACAAAACATCTTGAGCTGCTGACAGAAAACTGTCTTAAGAAAGAAATAATAATCACATAATCTAGCCCTAGTAGGATAAAAAAGTTTCTGCTAAACACATCTTGCTGCAGACTTATTATGAGGCAAAGCTGCTGAAAGGCAGAATATCAGTTTCAAACCAAGTTTTTCAAGACGCTGATGGCTAAAAGGCTTGTGCACGCACATAACCATACACCGAAGACACCGAACTGCTTATCTAGAATGTTCAGCAGATATTTAATTGTGTGCAGGCCTGGGGTTTAAGTCATTTTTCATCATTAAGCATGAGACTAATGTGTTCAAAGAGTTACTTCACAGTGCTTCTGCACATGGAGTGCCTATGCTCTGTTATAACATCTCATCTGAAAGACAGGACTCCATACCTCAGTGAAAGATGATGTTTGTAAAAGATACAAAGCAAACTTATTTCAAAGCTGTGAAAACAGAACTAGAACAAGCTTCCCAGGGAACTTGCCTCCTGCTGGTTAGTTACCAGACATAAATACATTGGCTTCAATCTTTTTCCCCCTCTGAAAGTACACTTTTAAAGAGTCAGAGAATGTCCAAAAGTCTGGCACGACTTTATCAGAGCAGTAACACCAGATGCATTGGTGGGAAAAAGCCAAACACAGGATTTACGAGTGCTTTGAGGAGAACTTCAGTGAAGAGCAGCACAAAGGAGTATGTTGAAGGTCAGGCATCTCTGGAGAGGGTAGAGGTTGCTATGGGCAAATGTTGAACCGACATGAAAAAGAGTGAAACAGATGCTAACAATTGTGAATGGCAACCTTTTGGGCAAGCGATGCCTCGAGGATCAGTCTGGGGACTGAGTTTGCCACCTTAAAAATTAACAAGGAGGAGGAGGGAAATGTGGCTTCCAGCTCATCCTCCAAAGGGAATGAATCCAGGACAGAGCAGTAATTGATTTAAAACAAGAGAGCAAAAGAGTCAGAAAGAGGCAGTTCACATCCCAGGTTGATGCATAAATAAAAATTCACTTGCTGTGGAGCATGCTGTAAAGAAGTGCACACACCGAGATGAAAAATGCTCTGTGTACTTTTGGTGGACACATTTCTGAGGTCCTCAGCATGTTTCCTGAATGCAAACCACAGCCAGGCAAGCCTGGGATGTATACAAGGTCTCAAGGGACCGATAAGGCTGTAAGTGTGTGGTTAGCTTGCAGACTGGCATTCCTGAAATGAGGAGCATTAAATCAGCCGGGCTTTGCGGATACTGCCATCTTATACAACGAATCTCCAACAAACTGAACCTATTTTTTGTGCTGACTTTGCTCTATTCGTCCATGCTTGCAAGCAGCTAATCACCTTCCAAACACAGCATGTTGCTCCTAAGTGCAAGAGGCTGTACTTCAGCCTCCTTTGCTGCTCTCCTCTTTGGCAAACAGTGCCAAGTGTAATAATTAGTCCTTTATTTGGCACTATTGGCACTGTAATTAGATTACAGGCACCAACTCAGTGCATATAAATGACAGAACAGCCCTGATATACCTGAATGTCTTTTGGTCACAGCCAGCCTCTGCTAGAATGGAGCTGGTATTTATTAATCAGCAGTTTTGATCCTCAGGCCTCAGAGATTTCAGCCTGAAATTCTCTGAGGCACACAAGAAAGCGCCTCAACACTGTTTGCCTCGTGCCACAGCCCAAGGAAATCCACTGATGGAGTCAGCATTTTGGTACGGGAATTGCCAAATTCTACTCCCTGCCACAGCACTGTTTAATCACACTATGGGGTGTTTGGTTTGGACATAAATCTGTTGGTGATAATATTACACTGTCTAGGAGCGTTTTGAAGAATAGCTAAGGTTTGCTCAGCAGCTTGAAAACAGTAGATTGTTTTAGACAAAGCAACCACTCACTGTCACATATAAGGTATCTACAAACCACGTGATGAAATAGAAAGATTTACAGAGACAGTTAAGTAAATAAATACATTATGTTGCTGTCAGATCTGTGTTATAGCATGAGTTTTAGCTGATACGGAGGTATGCTGGTCCACTTACCTTTGCGATCTGCACACACCAGTTGAGAAGGTACTGGGAGCCGATGTTGTCCTTGTGCTCTCGGATGTAATCAAGGAGGCAACCATAAGGCATCAGTTGTGTGATGAGCTGCACGGTGGACGTGAGGCAGATTCCCAACAAGCGGCATACATGAGGATTGTCAACACTAGCCATCACATAAGCTTCCTGAGAAGAAAGCAAAAAAAGCAATGTGAAACACTCCCTTTGGCATGACACATATTTGGAGAGAGTTTAAAATGAGTTGGTCATTCAAGAAGTTGTTAAAATACTAAATGCAGACTCTGTGCTTCATATCACATATAAAATACTTGTATTTCCCTCTCTGTGGATCGAGTTTTTTCTACTCAGTGGAAGGTCCAGATTTTGAACTGAAGCATCACTGAGATGCCACAGAAGAGCCAGGCTCCCACTTCTGTTACACCAAGGACACAAAATCCTGGGGACAAAACTGGCAGACCTAGGCAGAATTAATAAATTGAACATCACCTGGAAACTGATGGGATTTCATCACTTTAAGCACCCAATTGCAATGGCAACACATCTTGTGAACATGTGTCATAATGCTTTTTCTCCTCTACAGATCTTTTGACCAACCTGTCTGGACATGAGTATTTTGAGACTTTTGCCCTTCTGTCAAGGTTTGTGCTAACCCAGAAAGTCAAGAGTTGTCATCTAGGATGTGACCGATGGTTTGACTTCTTAAGAGACCATGTTCTTCTTGATCATTATGTTCTTCAGTTGATGTCAAACCAAATAGGCTAATAATCAGTTCACCTCTTTAGAGGCTTGAGTACATGTGGTGAAAATGTTGTCCCCAGTTGGAAAAGCTGTTTCAGTCCCATTTAGCCATGTAAATTATACCAGGAATGTACTTATAATGTGGGAGCCCAAGCATAATAAACCCTTTGGTCAACTGGAATTTTGGGTCTGAGCTTCATAAATATGTGAAAAACTGTCAAGTCTGCGTTCACCCTACGTAGCTTTAGGTACTGAGCTAAGGAGACCTTTCCCTTTGCTCCTCTGTAGGAAGGGAGATGCTCCTTCAGAGGCTGGTGAAGTACATTTCAAACACACTGAACACATCCTTTAACATGGCCACAAGGTGAAAAGCACAACTTCACATTTTCTTGTGTGCAAAAACTACTTACGGATTGGTAATTGAGTTGTGTATTTATATTGACATCCACTGTCAAGTGCCAGCTCAAAGAATGGATTCCAACTGGGGAAAAAATTACAGCTGAAGTTGTTTGGATTTTTTAACTGATTTTGGGTCTGATTTACAATATGTCACATTTAGACATTTTTTAAGCCATCTGATTGAAAACCAACGCAATGGGAAATAATGAGAACTTTTCCATGCATCTTAACTCAGCATCTGGAGAGACACCAACTAATCATCCCTTGGTGATTTAGTATTAACCTAGCAGCCCCCCAGTGTCTAAAATCATAGTGAAGAGATTGTTGTGGCATGGAAAGGAGCAAATCTGCTCTAAGAGCTTAAGAGAAGAAATACCATAGCACTTTACTCATCATCTAATAAGCTTTCCACAGATGTCACATAGTTGTGTAGCTGGTAAGAACTATTATTAAACAAAGTTATTAAAGCAATGACGTTCAAGAAATAAGCAACCCCAATTCTTAAGCAATACTTTCTGGCCTTGGTACTACTGTTTGACTTGCCAGCCTAAGCAAAACATGATGTAATGCAGCTTCTCCTGAGGTGCTAATTCTGTGTTTGGTATCCTTGTTTTGGATGAAAGTGGCCTCCAGGCAGCGAGGTTAAAGATGATCACCAGTAGAATTGGACAACTGCTCCTCAACCTACCGCAGGATGTGAGCAGGTCACTGAAAAACAACCCTCTGTCAGAGAGAGCACTGGTTCTGTCGGCTAGCTTGAGGAAAGATGAAGCAAGAATACAATCTGCTGTTCAGTTACATAGATATTTGCAGCAGTATTTTGTAAAGAACCTTTCAAATCCATTATATGATGTTCAGATGTAAGCAGAGACCAAAACGTGCTCATCTCCCTAGGCTTCCAACCCAAGCCATCAGAATGACGAAGGGCATCTGTTCCTTGCCTTGCTTCCTGTTGGGATTCAGATCCATATTGTACTCATTTTAGTGGGGGAAGGGAGGGAAGAGCGGGAACTCTGCAGAGCTGGAGCTCTTCTTACTGCCCATCTGCCGCACAGCCCCCGTGGGGCTGACCTGAGGGCCGAGAACTGGGATGCTGAAGAGTGGGGTGGGTGTACGGGCCACACAGCTTTCAGACAGTGTCCAAGCCTTGGCACTGGTATCACATTCGATAGTGCAAGGTCAAAGAGGCCACCGCCTCCTCGCAGGGAGCAGAAGGGAGCTATTGTGCGGTCACGGGTCCCTCTAAGTAGCCCAAGACATTAAAGTGGGCCTTTGTTTCAACTGTTTATCTTGGAAATCTCTGCGGTACACTCTAACCTGCTCCAAGTATGCTTGGTATTCAACAACAATCTTCTGAATTAGCCCTACCCTAATAAAGCTAGCGAGAGCTCGCCTGGATTATATGAGCTAAAGCTGCTGTGCCTGTTCTATACCTAGCATGTTTCTGTAAGGTAAATCATCTTTAATTGGACATTATTATCTCTGCAGTTTCAATGACCTTGAAAAGTTGGTTGTGTAGCAAAATATGTTTTGAGAGGAGATTTTGGAGTCATCCCTCTGACTTCTGTTGACTGGGTTTGTATTTTTTTTTTTTAATTTTCATCTGAAATATAGAAAGAATTCCACCAATAAAATAATCTAAAAGATGAACAGGACTGAAAAAAAGCAAGAGCTTTTTTTAAGTGTCCTAATTCAAAGGAAAAGAAAAGATAACATGAAGATACACTACAGAAACTTTGAAAAGGGGAAGTACTTTGATATCACTGAAGAGTCTGCAGTTCCTGCATTTACTGCCTTGCATGTGACATGTATGTGACATGTATGTGACACAGTTCAAGGCCTAAACATGAGAGTAAAGAAAACAGAGTTAGCTGTAAATGTATGGTCCTGACCTCTCCATAGGTGCTACCCCAGGAGTACTACACCAGTATGTGGACTGCGAGCACAGGGTTCATATGAGACACAAAAGCATTTCACAGACTGGGCTTCAAAGCCCAGAACTTTAGATAGAGAATTCAGGTTTGGGTGCAAAATATTTCTTCCCACCCAAAATCCCAAAATCCCTTTAGTTGTTACAGAGGAAAATTCACAGACCACTGACAACTTGACAAAACAAACATGAAAACTTACGTCAAGTATTTCCTTGTTGGCTTTTGGTGAGGTAGCCTCTCTCAACTCTTTAATAGCCACAGGAATTTTAACCTTCTCCCCTTCTGGGATCCAAAGTCCCTACCAAAAAGAAGTAGAAAGAGTTACTCAGTCTCATATCTACCAGGTTAATTCTCACAATTACATACACCTTTTACATCTTCTGAGAGGACTTAAATATTCTGAGCAATGGGAAGACATGGCAAGCAACAAAAATAGGCAAAAAAAGTCTTGCGGGTGTTAAGCAATCCTGTTAATGGAGTGGTATTTCTCTTTCAGTCACCTCTAGAGTATCTTTTTTGGAAAAAAACACCATGTTCATTTCCATCCCTCTATAGGGGGGATGCCCAAGAGACGCATAAAGAGAAACTTCTGTGGATGGAAAACTAATTAATTAGCACATCACAGCAACTGTACGTGCAAAACCTTGCTACTTCCAATTTATACAGACTGGGATGAAAGAACTGGCATTTTCTCATGACAACAAGATGGCATCCATACTGTACAAATATAAGCAGTGGCAAGTAGGTTTCTTTCAGGCTGGTTCAGTGCTCTACATTTACAGTGTCAGCAGGCCATTTAGGCAGCAGGTGAATAGTGTGGCACTGCAAAGACACACTGCTGATGTACTCAGCGATATAACAATATATGTACTCTGTGCATTTTCAGAGGTTAATGGGATTTGAGCTTCAAAAGTTCCTAGCCATAGCTGGAAGCCTGCTTCAGAATACAAAGCTTTGTAAAGAGATACATGGTTCTATGAAAGTCTGTATTTCAATACTATTGGCATTTATCCTGAATAAGAAAAGTACAGAGAAGTAGAACTTGGTGAATAAGAAACACAGAAGATAAACACCAAGAGAAAAAGAACCCTGTGGACCTACACAGTTGAAGGTGTGTAGACACTCCCATACATCCGAATCAGTTCTAATGAAAGAGATTGACAAGTATAAAACCAAAACCCCAGACCACATAGAAAAATGGCTTAGCACTGAACTGACTGCTTTTTTCCTAACACAACAGCGTGTATTTGGCTGAGGTAGTTTTTAAGTTGAGAACTTTGCTCTCCGGGTTCAGCAGTATGGCTTGGAAACATATCATGTAAAACCTCCCATGTTACCCAATTTGTCACTCAACTAATGATGACTGAGTCATCTCTCTACCATTCAATACAGACATGCTATAAAATCTAGCTTAGTGATCACAATGATCACAGCTCCCAGTTCATGCCCTCTTTGGGTGGCTTCTGCATAAGGGAGTAAGATTGAAATGGGAAGGGAAACACCCCTTTTCTCTTAAGGTGCATCTTACCTTATAAACAGTGCCAAAAGCTCCAGAGCCTAAAACTTTGACCTTTTTAAATTCTGTTTCCTTTAAAATTCTCAGATGAGCCTGGTTTGGTGCCTCCCCGCTGGGTGTCAGTGGTTCGACAAGCTAAGGCAGAGAGAAGATGATGTTAGAAGGACATACACTCTAGGAGGACAGCAAACTGCATGCTTTGGGAAAGCAAGTAAATCCTTCCTTTAAAATAATGAACATTTTATTCCATGTGAAGTTCCAAGGAAGACAGCCCCACTCTGACTTGCAGCAATAAATACCTCAAGTTGCTCCAAATTTCAGAGGTAAAACCAATCACAGATTGCCAACTGCCATTTTGAAGGAGAATGAGGGAATACTACTGTTCAAATGAAGGCTTTGACTTCAAAGCCCTAAAGCACATGGGAAGAAGAAGCATGCAATTACCAGAGATCCTAAAGAAGATTTTTCTTGTTTTGAACTTGTGAATACATTATTAAAATGTTTTAAATAAAGGGCAAGAATCACCCACAACCATTCAGGTCTGCTCTTGTTTAACTGGATGGAATTCCCATGGTACCAGTGGCTCCCCCAGACTGCAGGGTTTACGAGCGGCAGCTGGAACTCTGAGAGTGCTTCTTTTGTCAATAACAAAGGAGATGGTGAATTTGCTATCAAGATTTTAAAAATTTGGCCTAGGCCTCATTACCAAACAGCAGCAATGCCTTCCAAACAGAGGTATTTTAACCCTTTTCTGATGCACAAGTCAGCTTTTTCCCTTTGTGCTGCTTCTTTTTCCTTACCTTTGAGCATTTAGCTGGATACAATCAGATTTTAGTGGGCCAGCAACCTTTCTGCTGGATGAAATATTGTCATTTTGAGGAGTACAGGGAGTACAAGATGAGCTGAGCACAAACTGAACTCTACTATTACAACTGTAGAATACAGTGGTATGTAAAATATTGTGAGGTAGTGCATTAAAAGTAGCACAGCTTTGACTTTAAGGATTTCAGCAGCTGACTTTGTGAAGCCAGTGAGCACAGAAAGGAGCTGCAACTGGGCTTTTAGCAGGATGCTAAATACAATTTGCTAATGATTTACTAGGACTGAACTAGAAAAAGAAGGTGGCTAATTATAAAAGAGTGGCTTTAATCCAGGATAATGAATTTTGCTGGTTTATATGTGAGGTACTCAGGGGGTGATGCTGTAACACAGACAAAACCATGCAGAAAACAAAAAAGCAGTGTAGGAGCCTTGTTTGTGCCCAACAGCATGAACCATCCACTTTGATGGCTCTGCGGGATTTTTGTGCTAAAAGCAAACCAAAGACAAGACACAAACACTTCCTCAATTCCTTTCCCTCCTCTTCTTTCTCTCTTGTTTCTTTCTGAAGAAATGAGATGTGTGTCTCATCAAGGGGGTAGAATTTTCAAGTTGCCACAGCACCCTCAAGGCTTGTCTGGAGGTAGAAACTATTCAAGGCTGAGAGTCTACACAGCAAAGTGCTATGGACCAGCAAAACACACTGCACCTCACCCTGAAGGTGTAGTTTTTTCCAAGTAGACAATCTCAATGATTTTCCTTGGGATTTAGACATCTAAACCCCCTAAAGCTTTTAAAAATTACATCCCGAAGGATGAGACTTCAGATTGAGAAGGTGTTAGATGCGCATCGCCTCTTTCCTGAGGCAGACACCATGCTCGCCAACCCAAGGGCTTGTTGAGTTACAAGGCAGATGTAGGGTGCTTTAGCTCTCAGTATGAGCAGGCTGGCACCCATTAAAGCAGGTAAAACAGCCGGTGTTGCCACCGTGCCATGCCAGCAGTGCTCACCTCCCTCTCCTGCAGCAGCCGGCGCAGGGTCCTCTTTCTGACGATGTGGCGTCTCCGCAAGTAAAGGCCGATGCCCAAGCCGACCACCACCAAGCACAGGAGCCCTCCAACAACACCCGCTGCGATAGATGGGATTTTGGAGCTGCAGGACAGAAGGGAACGCAGAAAGACAAAATAATGCTTAGGTGTAAGATTTAAAAAGCCCTAGGTTTTGATTAAACACACACTCTGGACATCCGCTTAACCCTGTTTGAGATGAATCCCCTGCAATGCAGGTAACCATATCAATCCTAAATATCTCTCTGCCTTTAATCCTTTCTTTTTTTAGCTCCTCCTTTTCTTCCCCAGTAAGATCCCAGGTCTCACCTTGACAAGCAAGCTAAGCAGAACGAGCTTTTGGAGTCTCGTGCCAGTAGGGATATTTCTCAGTTCTTTAGATCATTTTTATCTGCTCTAATCTGTCACTTCCCTGTACAGAGCTGAAGACTTAACTTTAGCCCCAGCCTTGCAGTGTCCAGCATGGAAATGTAAACACGCATGCATTCTTCCCAGCTCTGTCGTTAATTGTAGCAGATTAGATACTCACCCGTTCGGACAGCCTTCAAGACCTGGCCCTTTGCACCTGTAAAAACAAATGAACATCACAAACGTATGAGCTCAGGCATACGTAATTCTATAATTCCAACTGAGAAAAGTGCTACTGATTGAAAAGTTTGTGTTTCAGAGCAATCCAAGTATTAACACTGGAATTTATAACAGTTATACACTCTACTAAACATCATCAGTCAATGGCCCTGCTCCAAAATACTTTGTCTAGAGGCATAGTTATAGCTTCATACTCAGTTTAAAGAATATTTTAAACCAGCTTTATATCATGTGGCAGAATGATATTCTACCACATGAATGTCATGTGGGGGGTGTCATAGATACACAAATTCATGGACTCCCTGCTGTGAACGGACATCTGTGCTAGCGCAGAAGCTTAGGGCTGACTGTGGAGGAGGACAGAAGTAGCCTCTCCCCTGCACAAACGCACACAGCCACATGGAAACGTGTCACTGCAGACCCTTCTGCATGAGCCTTGTTTCTTGATAAGTAAAACCTTCCAGTTTCCAGACTTCCTATTGCAATGGAGAACTTGTGTAGGAGGTACACAGTCCCATCAGAAAACAGGATTTGACAGCACTCCCTTCAGCTATAGTTTGTTGGTATGTGTCCATGATAATTTTATTTCAGCATCTAAGGTCTGATGTTGAAAGTGTAAACAGGAACAAGAGTTATCCAGACAGCCAGAAACTACTAACAAGACATTCACCCTCCATTTGAGTTTAAAATGAAATTCATTTTGGCAGCCCAAATGCAGAAAACAATACAGATGAAAACACAGTGACTGCATTCACTTGATGGTCTAATGGGTGTGAAAGGCACCACACATTCCCTAAATGCTGCTGGGCTACAAGATTTATGCTTTTCTTGGGAACTGTGGTCTTTGTGGTATCTACGGAGCAAGAACAGCATTACAGAGAGGGTTACATCACCTCTGAAATGCAGAACACAGCAAGAAGAGAAGTCCAGTTTGTGGTATCCACTCCCTGCGCGGACTTAAAGAAAATGGGCCATCCGAAACCAACTCCAGAGGAGGTCAAAGAGAGGGTAAGGAGTAAACCTGTGCCAGGAAAGCTGCTCTGCATTCCCTTCTGCTGAGAGGAGGAACCAGCAGGTTTCCAAAATGGCAGGTAGAGGTGGTGATCTTATCTCATAACTTGTTCTAGGTCTAGGGGAGGAAGAGGTGAAGCAACTACTCATTTTATTGTGGTTTTGTTTGTTTCTTTTCATTACTCTGATCTTCCCTCATGTATTCGCCTTGTTTCTGGGCCAACACAATGCTCCAAAACCCAGCATCTGGAAGATCTTGTGAGTTCACTGGGCTCCCATGCAAGAATGTGCATCCTGGTGTCCTGGACATGCTGGAAGTGCTGTACATACTGGTTCCCGGATCCCGGGCGCCCAGCTTTGTTCGTGTTCCCTGTTGGCCTACAGCTTGGGTTGTTTGCTCAGTTGTGTAACTAAGCACGTGCTTGGAGAGGCTGCACATGCAGTGCAGAACCACCAGCTTGCTTACAGTCACAGGAGACATATCTTGCTCTACACCGGACTTCTCTATTTGGGTGCTCAACAGAAAAATGATCTAGGACCCAAGACCTCATCCCATTCATGCTCTATCAGCCAGGAATGAATTTCTACATGCTAAGGCAACAAAGTATGAGCAGCTTGCACGCCAGGATGTTAAATTTAAAAGACCTCACTTTATCCCAGAATGTGACTGTGGTCCCTCAAATTCTCTTTTCGTAAAAGTTCTGGTTTGCCATGCTCCTTTACAATGGCAAGTTCTCTATGTGCTTCCTTACAGTAAAAACAAATGGCTTGAGGAGATAGTATCTAGAGTCTGAGGAATGACCAACCAGTTATTTCCCTACACCAGAAAGCAGAAGTGTAGATTTTCATCTGTCCCCTTCTCCTTATAAATTATTTCTCACACAAACCCATCAATATCAAGTCTAATGGGGTAAAGTAAAAAGGTGTTTGGGAAGAAAATGACAGATCAGCTTGTGCTTTTCAAGTCCCATGTGATTTTCTGATTCATTTCACAAGTCTAAGAAGAAACAAATCCTATGAAAAATATCCATCCAGGACTAAACATAACCATCTTTCTTACTGCGGAATTTTATGATGACATCCAACATAAGTAATTCAGGTTTTATGGAATCTAAACAATCACTTTTTCCATTCCTGAATCATTTTTCTTTTGCTTACAGAAACCAAAATGAGAAATGTGACCTTGTGTTATAAACTGCCTCAAGACCTTACGGATATATTAGATGGAACCTAGCAGTGGTTGTAGTCTCTGAAATATTTCTCTACTTATTGGAAAATTAGTGCTGTGTACAGTCCTGGAAAAATATTGCATCCTGAACTCAGCATTTCATCTATCTATGTAAATATTACTTGCCCCAGTACAGACATAGCTATTTATTTCCCAAACCCATCAAGATTTTAACAACTTTCTCCTCGACCCATAGTTCCTAATTTGATGTAAGCCAGGTTGCTGTGATTTATGGCCTTTCAGAGAGGACTATAACAGCCTAAGTTACTCCACAGTCATAAAAGAAATTGAAAGTCATTGGGCTTTTTAAAGCCTTACAAGAACCTTTCTCTGCCCTTTCTTTCTCATTAACTTCCAGAATGTGACAAAGGCATCACATTGATGCTGTGCTGCAGCAACCTTCCCTCTCATCCCCCCCAGCTGCTTTCTCACACCCCCTCCTAAAATCCCCTGGCATCTAACACGAAGGCTGGTGAGGCACATAGTGTCGGTAGTGACTGCGGAGGCTGGATGCATCAGCCAGTGCTATTAACTACAGTGGTGGTTTCTTCCCTCCTTGCTCTTTGACCCCAGTGGCTGTGGCTGAATTGAATTCCTGTACACTGGGAGAGTGGCAAAGGAAAACCAAATCCTTCAGCACCGAGCAGATTAATTAAGCTGGTGTGTGTCATTAGTTGCTTGAGTTATAAACTGAACAATTCCCAGGCTTTTGGAATGTTGCTCTCTTTATCGGAGCATATTTTCTTAGCTGTACTAGAGGCAGAGCAAAAGGAAGCTTGTACAAAATCCCCAAGAGATTACAGGAGAAATGGGAGAGAAGGGATCTTTTGGGCTGAGCAGGAGAAAGCTTCTTCCATTCTGTTTTTTAACGAAGGCTGAGAAAATGACTCAGCAAAGAAGATGAGACTAGATGGGGTTCTTCACAGTGATACTAAAGAAGAGAAGCATTACCACTCAGCACACCTAAGTAAAAAAACCAAACTTCATGACAAAGCTCAGCTGGGAAGAGCAGTCCTCTTTCAGCTTCTTCAAATACGGAAAATAAGAGCCAGATCCTGGAACCCATTACTTGCATGACTCCTGAAGCCAGCACACTTAATCATGCTGATAAGATTTTGTGGGCTCTAGCCACAAAATTGGACAGGGACAGAAAAAAGTTGCTGTTTTCTTGTCATGCAGAAATCACTGAGAGTGTGGTTTCTAAGGATGCAAAAACTTTGCGAGACAGATGTTTTCCACCCACTGCTGATCACATCCCATTCCCGCAGCACAAGGGAAAGGCGTGAAGAGAAGTAAGCAGCATTACTGATTGATTGCCTTCAAGGGGACAATGCCGTGCCAGACTGCACATTCCCACATTACATCTCTGACACTGGCTCCCTACCCATCAATGCCATTGGCCTTACATGTTCCCTCTGTAAAGCAAATATAGCAACATAACCTTCTTCTAGTTCTCCTGAGCCCTTCAGGGATACAGTCTATTTCTTCTGCCACATTTGGGCAGCAACTTGAACAGGACCATTGAGCACGTCCACAATATAACTGCGGCAAACTTAGCCCAGTTCTTTCATGGATCCATACTACTTTTTACGTTCTGCCTTAGTAACAGGGCCAAATATGCTGAGCCATATGTTGGGTACCCCTAATTTAAAATACATCTCTTTACCCCCATCTCCCAACAGATTCCTGTCGTACTCCCATCCTCTGCTAAAGCCAGGCAGGAATTGACTTTTCTGATGAAGTCTGCTCTGGGACTTGCTTGTGCACAAAGAGCCACCACATGGCTCCTCACTACATGCACGTCTGGCAGATTATGCTCTCCAAGTTTGCATTCATTCGAGTCTAGTGTTTGATCTCACTACTGAGGCTGCAAAGTGGAAAGCCTTGTTCAGATGTGGTTACCCATTATGCTGCATTTTGATGTGGCCACTTAGAAGAAGGATATTGGATCACTGTGGCTAGTTTGTATCAGTGGGCACTACTGAGGTCATTAATAAAGAGTAAAGTTATTAAGATCCTGTTTCTACTGAAGTCATTTGTTCTCAGGTGTGTGATGGGAAGCCCGATAAGCCTTGCCTGCGTCTGTAACAAAAAAGAGGGGGCACTGCTGTAAATCATAGCAACCCACATGGCTGTTAAAGCTATCATCGGAAAAACAGACCCCTAGGAAAGGGTGATACTTTTTGGCTTAACCCTTCATCTCCTTTTCTCCATGACAGCAAGGGCCTGGGCACTCCGCTCTTTGATGACCTGGCAGTTGAATTAGCTAATGGACAATGTGATCATGGTTCACCTGAATATGTTATAACTTCTCTCTTGCAACAAGTATTACAGGTGTACTACAGGAGGATCTGGGATCAGACAGACCTGCAGGGTACAGGGAAAGGGCCTGTAAAGGGAAAGACCCCAAACGTGGGTGTTTTTTTTCTTTGAAAGCATTGCAGTCCAACAACCAAGTCTCAATCCCTAAAACCTTTTATTAAACATGCCATGTCCTTTGCAGGTTGGAAACCAGGAGAGGAGATCGTTCTTACTGTCATGTAGGACAAATAATGTTCAATTTACAGCTTGTTACGGGTGGCAGTTTAAGCATGCCCCCAAATGAGGACAAAAATGGTTTATACAGATTTGGTTTACTGTGATGCCCATTAACAAAGTGACACTCAGGAGGCAAGCAAGGCTTTAAACTCAGACCAAGAGCTAGCATCTGGGAAGATGGAAAAGTAGAAAACCACTGTGGTACCCCACTGGGATTTCCCTCTTAAAAAATGAAAGGTGCAGAGAAAAATGGTCCCCAGGAGCTCAGCATCCACCAGATGTCACTGATGATCCTCCCAAAGCCAGAGGACCCAGCACCAAGCCAGGTGGGAAAAGCACCAAAAAAAGCATCACTGGTGAGGAACTCCGTAAATTCCAGGGTATTTCCTATTCAAATCAACAAACAAACATGTTTCAAACCCCTAAAGTGGTTTTTTTTTCTTTTTTTGCCTTCTGTGTAAAGAAGAAGTGTCACTGAACTTTGCCTATTTACAGTTTGCTGTGCTTTGCTTACATTACCTGTGTACTGACCTTTCTCACTCCCTTTCTTCTTCTCGGTTGTTTGAAATGGGACCATCAGGAAGAAAAAGAGGTCAGTTCAAGCTGTTCCCCTATTTCTTCCCCCCATCTTTTACTCACCCACGGGTGCAGTTTGGATGGCAGAGCTGGCAAACAGCATTCCCATCGGCGTATTTCCAGACAAGGGTGTCATTCTCACCCAGAACTCCCGCTGGGCAGGATTTCACACAGTGGGGGCCATCTATAAAATGGGCACACTTCATGCAATTGTCAGGGCCCTGCAAAGAGAAACAGCTTGTTTGTAATGCCCTTACACCAGCCTATTGAGGAGGAAATTCACAAGATAAATCTAAATGGTTTTCATTGCTGGAAGTTTTCAGCATCATCTGGTTTTATTACCTTGCTACCTGATATTCTTGCAAGTATTTCTCGTGTAAGATGGACCGTATGAAAGGTAGTACCTGATGTTTAAAGTGCTTAATTAAGCCTGATATTTAATATTTTCTTAAGTTTCAGCTGCTTTTTTTGCCCTGCCTTCTGCCTGGTTGGAAAGCTTACATTTTGCATTCGAAATGGGGAATAATCTAGTAACATCTTGATAAAGGGTAAGCTGAAAAGCAGAGGGCCCGGCTGAGCCTGTTGCAATCTACCATCACACAATGTAGAATGATGGACCTGGACCTGGTGACACCTTCCTAAAGTACTAGCCTCAGATCAATGCTTTCTTGGTTTCTCAGCATGGGTTCTTTCACTTGTTAGGGAGAAGCAAGGGATAATGGAGGCAACTCAAGTTGAGTCTGAAAATTGTTTTTTTTTTACCTTGAAAAGCACTTAGTCTGTATTTAAAGGCATTGTCTTTAGCCATTTTTAGCTGAAATGTTTTTATTCAGGATATAATAGCACCAGGAATGCACTAAGTATTTTATAGAAGAGGAACCAGCAACTCTGGGTCAAATTCCACTATGGAGAAAACCAGACCTGACCCACAGGGCCAGTTTCAGTGGGACTACAGTAAGACATGCTATAGGATGGTTATTTTAATTACTGTAAAATCTAAGGGCCACTGTAATAGACTGATTTCTATGTGTTGGGCAAATACAGAACAAGGGGGCTGTCACTGCCTGCAGGAGTTTCTAATGTTAACAATATCCCTGAGGCCATGGTAGTCTAAGCTAGAAGGGAAGATGGAAATGCTTCACATTACTGAGCAGTGACTCTTGAGACTCATGATGGGCAAGGGTTGAACACTCAGTGGCTGCAGGGAATAGCAAGAAGTGTTTAAGGAGTTGGGTTAAGTAGCACAGAGAAGGATCTGTGATGGAAGCACGAGACTTGGTTTCAATTACCCCCCAAAAAAAGAGAATTAGAGCTTTACAGTCAAGATACTACTTTGATCCGATTAAAAGGAAAACATTAGGTACCGTTGCCAAACTGGACATTTCATTACACAAAATAGTGTTCTCAAAATTAAAGAACAACAAAGTTGAGGAAGACTGGATGACCAGCAAGACTGCATTGCACTGACTTCTGTAAGAGGAGCTTGAATGAATTGGAGTATTTAAACAAGTTTGAATTTGGAATATTTAAACAAGCTTGAAAATCAAATTGTTTTGATCGCCTTTCTTTGAATATAATTTACACCTGCAATTACTTTAACATAGGCATTTACTGCAATTTCCTAGAGGTAGGAACATGGTTAGTGGAGGGAACATGGTTTTAAGTAAAAACTGCATAATTTTTGGTAAGCATTTGGTCTTGGTAACAATTTTAGCACGGCTTTTCAAAAAGGCAAAAAGCTACCGGTTTAATCCATTACTTGAAGCAGGTTATCTTCCCTTTCAATAAGGGAACCTAATCTGTTCACACCAACTTGGCATTTCATTAGCTTCATGTTCCTGAAATACTTGCCAAGTTATGTATCACCACATACATAAGTAAGCCTCTTCTTTTCCTCTCTGTCTGTAAAAGGCACAAAACCAGAAAGGCCCAGCAATACCTTGGACTTTGTATGATGTGTATGATGGATGACAAGAAAGAAAAGGTTCCCTTTCCAGTTTCTGCACCCCTGCCCCATAATCTTGACTTCCACCCCCTTTTATCTCTACTCCATCTTGGAGAAGCGTAAATGAGACCTCAGGATCATCTCAGCACAGGAGATACATATTAATACACGGTCTGAGGTGCAGGTTTGCTAAGCTGAATCTGCTCTTACAGGTCCAGTGCAGGTTGCGTTGTACATGGTGGAGTTCTGCACCAGGCACTCAGGGTGGCAGGGGAGGCACTTGGAATCCCTTTCAAACTCTCTTGGCTCCCTGGAAAACAAGAAAGGAGGAAAGGAATAATAAAACCCCAGGCTGATTAGGGAGTGATAAATTGTGCTCATCTCCCCTTTTCCTGATTTTTCCAGCTTAAATAGATTGGGATGATGGTGCTGGGGCAGGTACAGGGGGACTCTCCTGGCTACACCAGTAGCACTTGCTTAGGTCAACTAAGGGGAGGTAAGAGAAAGGGAAATTTGGTTGACGGTGAAACACACAGCACTCCAGATTGCACACTACAAATCAGTTTACTTTCCCTTTTAAGCTAACAACACAGAATATTCACAACGATTTCCAAAGGCTTTTAACTGGTTGTGGTGCAAAGAGATCAGCAAAAACAGTTCAAGTGATTCCAAGGCTCCAAATAATAATTAGGGAAGTTAAACAGCAAAGCACTGGTAATTAAATTCATGCCCTCACTACAACACACAATGAATCATTAAAATATGAAAGTTGGGAACAGATGGTTTCAATAGCAATAAAGCTGTTCCACTTCAAGTAATGGTGTTATTAATTAAACTAAATCTACCCATCATTTGACACAAAAAATGCCCAGATCTGCCCTTCAGGTCATAATAGCTGCTGGCAGGAATTCACTTACAAAAAAGACAGCTGCTGAACTGCAAACTGCTAGAGAAATACAATCATCAGGGGCACCAGCGCCCTGTCAAGTACTTGCTTAATACTCATGGTTTTTGGAAGCCAAACTTGGAAAGGTTCATTAAAAATACCCCTGTAATTTTCAGTGCTCGATGTGCCTTTCCTGCCTACATCACCCGCTGAACTGCCTGCAAACCCCAGCCGGAGCCCTGACACACAGGCAGTGATGTGTTTTCCTCTGCCTGAGTGAGGCTGGAGCAGTAACTTTGCCTGAAACTGCTGCTCCCATTGCTTTTGCAGATAACAGTTCATTCTCCCTTGACTGTAACTTTGCAAACTACAGGGGCAAGCCGCTCATCTGAGCAAATAAGAGTCCCTCTGCAACAAGGAAGTCTACCACATGGTGAAGCCCTGGCTCTGGGGACAACTGAGCTCGCGGTGACATCAAATGGCTCTGGCTCTCACTTGATGTGCTAGACATGACAGGTATAGCTCAGATTTTCACTGGGGCTTTAAGGTCTGTTATTTCTTATGGGAAAGAAATGCAAGGCTTAGTCTCCCTGGGCCTCCAGATAGTCTCCTCATGGCTTAAGGGGATATTTTCTTGGCAGGAGCAAAATCCTAAGCAATGCTGCATGGGGAAGAAGATGTACCTCAGGTCCTGTGCTCACACAAAACCTCTGCAAAGCTGGTGAAAGCCCATGCAGCCAGAGACCCTATTTTTTTTTTTATTTCTTTCTAGTTACAACACGTTTTAAACACTAAAACCTCAGAATCATTTCAGACACCTTACCCTTGCAGGATGTTGCACTGTTTCACACACTCCTTTTGGCGATCGAAAAACCTGCAGGAGAAGCAGTGGAAGGGCCCTGGGCCCCAGCAGCCCACATCTGAGCACAGGGGGTCACAAACATGCCCGGCAGCAGCTGGGAGAGAAAGAGAGACAAGAAAAGCCATGAACATCAAGGGAGGAGAAAGGGCAAATGAATCACTGCCAGTGACTCTATCCTGACCAGTTTCTCCAATCTGTTCCAAAGCAGACATGAATGGTCCTGGCAGTGTGGAAAAGGAGTAATCATAATTCTCTTAATTTCCAAAGCCTCAAATTAAGAGTGATTTCTGGCCTTTCAAAATCAGAATGAACTCTTCTGTGACAGCTTAACAGCTGTACAATAAAGCTAAACTAGTACTAGACTATTGTGGTTTAACCCCAGCAGGCAACTAAGGACCATGCAGCCACTTGCTTACTCACAACCCCCAGTGTGATGGGGAGGAGAACTGGAAAAAAGGTAAAACCCATGGGCTGCAGTAAGAACAGTTTAATAATTGAAATATAATAATAGTAATAATAATAATAGCAGCAGTAATTGCAATGAAAAGGGAGACAACAGACAGAAATAAACCCCAAGACAGACAAGTGATGCACAATACGCCAGCTCACCACCCGCTGACCCAGCTCATCCCTGAGCAGCAATTGGAGCCTCCTGGCCAGCTCCCGCAGTTTCTGCACTGAGCATGACCTGCTGTGGTATGGCTAGTTCAGGTCAGCTCTCCTGGCTGTGTTTCCTCCTGGCTTCTTGTGCAACTCCTCACTGGCACAACATGGGAAACTGAAGAGTCCTTGACTTAGCAAGCACTAAGGAGCAACAACTAAAACACTGGTGTGTTATCAGCATTGTTCTCAGACTAATCCAAAACACAGCACTGCACCAGCTACTGGGAAGAAAGTTAACTCTATCCCAGCCAAAACCAGGGCACGGGCTGAGAGAGTTTGGGCCATTCTGCCTGGAGAAGAGAAGGCTCTGGGGAGACGTTATGGCAGCCTTCCACAATACCTAAAGGGGGCTTATAACAACTCTTTACAAGACCTGTAGTGACAGGAAAAGGGGCAACAGTTTTAAACTCTAAAAGGGTATATTTAGATTGGGTATAAGGAAGAAATAGTTACAATGGGTGGTGACACTGGCACAGGGTGCCCAGAGAAGCTGTGGCTGCCCCATCCCTGGCAGTGCTCAAGGTCAGGTTGGACAGGGCTTGGAGCAAGCTGCTCTAGTAGAAGGTGTCCCTGTCCATGGCAGGGGGTTGGAACTGGATGAGCTTTAAGGTCTCTTCCCTAAACCATTCTAGGATTCTCTGATCAATTTCCAAAGTACAACAAATTCACATTCTGCAAAGAGAAGCAGTAAGATTTTGGTGCAGGGACCACTGCAGTCACAAAGTCTGAACAACAGCTTCAGCCTGGTCAAAAAAGTCCAATGTTTGCAGTTAACTTCTGTGTCCTTCAACCTATGTGGCTTCACTATGACCATAGTGGTGAGGAAGCTCTTTCACATCTGCTGGCCATGATGAAGTCCACATCCTTGGTGGGAAAAAAAATCCCACTTTTCCCACACCATCTTCATTAAAGCAGTAGCATTGATGAATTTTGCATCCAGGGGGACAAAGAGAAAAAAGCCTTGCTCAAATTAGGCTTGCATTTCAGCACAAGCTTCCACAGGGAGCAGGGAGGCAGTGCTGACTTACCACACTCATTTTTATTTCTGTTCTGTATAATCTTTGTTTTCTGGCTTGGAGTTGCAAACAGTCTTTGCCAGTCCATGGTGTCAGCATAGCAGAGGTTCTTGTTCTTCATAATGGCAACATCTCCATCACTGATTTCCTTGAGGGAGCGCAGCCCTAAGGACTGTATTTTCAAGTTAACAACAGCAAGGGAATACTGGCCACTAAAATGGAGAGGGACAAAAAGAAAACACATGGAAGAAAGAGTAAGCAGGGTATTATTCAGCACTTTTTCTTTTGATTTTCAAATGCATGTGGCTGCAAACTGAATTTTGTCCAAGCAAGATGCTGCTCAGTCCTCTATACTGGTACATGACATTCCTACTGTAAAGCAACTGCAATACTTATAACTGGTTTTGCATGGGCTTTTAAAGCTAAAATTGGCAGGACATGCACGCTCTGTCAAGTAAATTATGTGCAAGAATGGTGGTAGATAAAGCAGCTCTTATTTTGTGCTGGTCCACCAAGCCACCCTTCCTCCTGGGGTAAGTCCAGGAGGGTGCTGGAGGCACTGCCAGTGTCCATACCATCTGGCAGACATAGCCTGGTCCCAAGTGCTCAGCTACCTCACATCCCAAAGCGCTCCTGACAGTAACTTGCCCAGACTGCAAAGGGCACTCTCTGTTCTACTTGTGCTTCCAGGCTGGTGGGAGAGAACCTCCTCCTGAGAGGCAGGCTCAGGGCAGCCCCTCTCATGTGGCACTGAGCTGAGGGTTTCACTCCCCAGGACACACCATCTACTGCTACAAAGATGGTACTATACTCCTTGACAGGTTTTTCTTCTTTTGCATCAGCCTGGAGAAGAGAAGGCTCCTTAAGGGGAAACCTTAGAGCAGCTCCAGTGCCTAAAGGGGCTACAGGAAACCTGGAGAGAGGCTTTGGACAAGGGGGAATGGCTTTAACCTGACAGAGGGGAGATTGAGATGAGACATTAGGAAGAAATTCTTCCCTGTGAGGGTGCTGAGGCACTGGCACAGGGTGCCCAGAGAAGCTGTGGCTGCCCCATCCCTGGCAGTGTTCAAGGCCAGGTTGGACAGGGCTTGGAGCAAGCTGCTCTAGTGGAAGGTGTCCCTGCCCGTGGCAGGGGCTTGGAACTGGATGAGCTTTAAGTTCTCTTTCCACCTCAAACCATGATGATTTTGTGAAGACACCTGAGTCTCACACTGTTCAATACCTTGGGGTGCTCAGGCAAGCGCAGCTAGAGTGTCTTTTACAGTTGCTTTGACACATGATTTACTTACTGTTGCTTGGTTCTGCCTCGTATAATCTCCAGATTTTCAAAAGCATAGAGATCAGTAGCATTTTCAGGCCAGGCCTGAATCAACAAAAATCCTGAAAAGAAGAAAAGAAGATCTAGAAGTAGCAATAATAATAATAAGGAGCAAACAGTGGTCAGTATTGACAGCAGAACTTCCTCTGCCTGTGCTATGAGAAGGTGCTTGTGCTTTCCCTATGCTTAGCTGAGAATCTCGAAGTAAAACATGACATTTTAGGGAACAGGGAGATATTTTTAGACCTCACTTTATAAACAGTTTACTACTTATCCCACCATAAGGGCTTAGGAGAGTAAGAGATGATTGTGTTGGTGAGCCACATATCCTCGCCATGCTGAGCCACCAATGATAACAACTCTTTCGAGATACCCTAGCTGAGAGGCTGGGGGCTCTGGTGCTGTGGGAGAAAGGTACCACTCCCTCCTATAGTGAGATACCCTCAGGGAACAGGTAAACTGAAGACAAAGCAGGAACAGAGCAGAACTGACAGCACTCAGAGTGGATTAGCTAAGGCAAGCATGTTTCCCTGCTCAGTAGGGAGGGGGAGAACCTGGGAGATTGCAGGCTGCTGTATGGAGCTCTGGGATTAGTCACTGCTACCCTGGAGGGAACCAGACAGGTAAGAGACAGAAAGAAATGGGGAACTGGAGTCATGTCTGTGGACCCAGCTCTAATGTTACACTCATTTTATAATGAGCTGAGCAAAATTAGTTTTAATTGATCTTTGGCACAAGACGGTGGCTGAGTGCTCTGATGGCCACTTTGTGCTCGTGGAGACACCTTCACCCCAAGGAAGAGCTCTTCAGGCTGGAGAGGGTGTCTCTGTGAGGATGATGCAAGTCCCTAAGCATGCTTCCCTAAGGAGCTGCTGAAAGGTTTTCCATAAATAGAAACACATTTGGCTGTTTTCAGCCGGAGTGGCACGCCTCTGCATCACCACATACTTCTTGGGTGGCTGAGGATCTCCTCTGCTTTTACTGTTTGCTAGGACTGACAGTTCAGCAGAAGGAATGGTCTGGCCAAACCACACACCTTGGATGGGAGACCCATATAGGTTACATGGGTGTAATGCTGGCGAGGTGCTGCTGACCACCTCTGTGAAGAGTGAGCCCTGGTAGCTCAGAGACAGAAACCGTTCCCTTGCATTTCTCTTCACATGCCTAAACACTTCCCTGCTTTCCTTTTGTGGTTTTGGCAGTACCACTCAAGAGAACATCTCAGCTCTAGCCCCATTGCTAACCTGTGATTTCTTTGACTGTTTTGAAGACATCCAGCTTCTTGGGGTCCAAGGGTAGGGTCTTTGTGAAGGCATCACTGAAACAAACAGAACAAGGAATTGGGAAAAGAACAACTCAACTTGAATTTCTCACTAGTCCTTCTCCTCCAGTGCTAAACGACCAGCAGGCAACTTACCCTAGAAATGCAACTGGGAGGATGCTTACATCCCCATTGATCTTGGTACAGTTTTTGAAGGAGTCGATGTTTGTGGCATTTATGGAGAGGATCCCTTTAAGTTCACCTATTCCAATGCCGTTGCACACTGTTAAAAGAGACATACAAAAGTCAGGGGGGAGAAGAATAAAGCTCAGTTACCTGGAAGGGAACAGACATGGAGATGCCATTAGTCCAGAAAGCACTCCCATACTTTTGAACCTACCATTGTAAGATGAGTTTCATTGATCTTTTCCCTACTTCTGCTTCTCATAAAGCACCACAGGGTGCAAGCTTCCTGCTTGCCCAGTTGTGCAGCTCTGCTTTGAACATCGCTACTAATGCCCTTCTCTCTGTCCCATTTTGCTTTTACTCCCATTTGATAAAATACCAGGAAGAACAAACGAAGGAGAAGCCTTATGTGAAGATAGACATACCGCATAGTTTATCCACTGCACTTGTGGTGTATCCCAGCTGGAAAGCATGCTCCACAGCCATGTTTCTTAATCAAACCACTTGTCAAATCCTCAATCACTGGATATTTATATTGAATTTGCACTTAATTTAGGTCAGAACTACATGTACTTTTTCTAACAAGTTACCTATCATCTCAAAGCCTTACTGGCTTATTCCATGATTGTCATACCTTTGCTGCATAGCCCATCACACTTTTTACACTTCCGAACACCATTTTCTTCCACTTCGTAAGTATCGGTATTACAGGAGCGAACGCAGGAGCCGTGGTCTGTCACCACGTAGTTGTCTGGATAAAACAAGGATGCAAAGGTCATTGAAATACAAGAGGCTGCACAGGCACTTCAATACTAGGAAAAAGAAAAGGGGGGAGGAGTTGAACTTTTGGCATACTTAAAGTACAGGCATCAGTTCTGAGGTCTCACAAACATCCTTTGAAGGCAGATGGGGATACGGTGATATCGCTCTTTTACAAAGAGGGGAACAGTCACAGAAGGATAAAACAACACTGCCAGGTCAGGTCAGGCTGTGCAGCAATGCCATTATCAGAATCAGAACATGGCACTTTTGATCTCTCACCTTCTTTCACTCTTCCCAGGCTAAGGGCCTGTCAGGGCAATGCTCAATCTCAGTTCTATATGCTAAATCCTCTCCTACACTTACATCTTCATGGGTTAAAAAAACATGGACATGGAACAGTGTGAAAGAAAAAGCAAGCACTTGTATAGGAAGCCATGATCAGTAGCCTTGAGACAAGCGTGTTTAAACCGAAGACTTTCTACCAGTCCTAATTAAGAACCAGTTAAGAGCTGGTACTGCTTTGGCAATCCACATGATTGAACCTATATGGCTGTTGTTTTGATGATTCTCATTAGATGGTTTTGTCCCAGTCAAGAGAAAAATCCTCACAAGGCAAAGTTCCATGGTTAAAAATCAGGGAAGGTGATGGATGCAGGCAGTTTGAAGAGGCTATTTACCAGCTATTCTGTCATTTTTGTCACCTGTTCCTGGTTCCCAGAGAAGCAGAGGAGAACAAGGAGGTCCTCCTGGCCACCACACAGAGCCCTTCACACCTCCCCACCTCCTCTGTGGCTGCAATGTGAAATAAACTTACGTGGACATTCCCTCACACAAGTGGCTCCAAAGCTGTATTTTCCATCAGGATTGACATCCATCTGATAAGTGGTGGGGTTATACAGGACCAATGGGGGACACGTATCCTTGCACGTAGCATCATCCCGAAACTTGCGACATGCCTGTCATTGAACAACACCTCCCATTAAACTGCTTTCTCCTTAAAAAGTGATAATGGTTTTACATTAGCTTTTTCAAAACACTCTGATGTGCTCAGCTCTTTCCTGCTTAGGAAATCCCAAGCAGCTACAGGGATGGTTCCTTATGCTTGAAGGTGAAAGGTTGCTTCAGGTCAGGCAACTGAGTTTAATATTTGGGGGGAGAAAAAAGAGAGAGAATATGAGGTTTTCTTGTTCCGAACAAGAAACCTTGGCACTGACGGGAGAGCTGCTGGGATTCACGTGGGAACAGGAGCAAATCTGCATGCCCTAGACAGAAAAATTTTCCCTACAAGCAGTAACCAGATCAAGACATACAGTACGTTTCTTGGCTGCTTTTTAATAACCTAAATCAAATCAAGTCCTTTCCTGCTGATTACTGACTTTTCTGGCTAAATATTAAACTGAAGCCATTATATTTTGCTGTGAGTAATAAACAATTTAGGAGCCATTTATGAAGGACAAGTTGGGTCTTCCAATCTAATTCTGCATAAAATTAATAATCACTCTATTTTCCCCTTTTATCTTCCCTAGCTTTCTAGTTGAGAGAGAATAACTGTCTTTCCTGTGCGCCAGGAAAAGGCACCATAGCCTTGCAATTTATAAAGGGACCAGGAATGCAAATAACAACAAAACCTGGAGTGAACAGCTTCTGGCGCAATTACTTAGGTATCATTTAATTCAGAATGAAATGCAAACATGGAGCAGAGTTAAAACCACAGTGCATATCAACACCCCCCGAAACTCTTGTAGAAAAGCAATGGGATGTTTTCTTTTCCCCCAAAAAAGCTCCATTGCTCCTTCTCCCTCCACTGCCCCAGGGTCCTCTAAACACAATGCTTTTGTGGCACATGAAAAACAGAAATGGAAACCTTAATTTCATTGTCTGAAGTTCAATGAAAGGCAAAAAAAGTGCAGATCTATCACACCTTATGCCCCTTAGAAGTTCTTGCTCTAGTAAACCAAGATTATTACTGAGTAGCACTAAAGAGCACAAGGCAATGCAAAGCCACTGCACTGTGGTGGCAGCTGAAGACCTGGGGATCTGCCTACATGGGAAAGACACCCCACAGCAAACACTTAGCTGCCCTGCAACAGCTTTGAGAAGCTTTGAGTTCACTGGGGTCTCAAAGGCACTGACACTGTTTTAACATGTGCTAGGAAGGTCCACCCGCAAAGTCAGTAAAGGTTAACTCAGGGCCAAGTTTGTGTTCTCTTCCTTTGAGGAAGCGCTGAAGCACCTTCCAGGTCAGCATCTCTTAGAGGCCTTCTGGGATGGAAGAAGGCTTGAGGACATGCAGCTGAAAGCCTGCCTCACTGTGTCAGGGATTTATGGTTATGGTTATGGAGGTGGTGTAGAACGGTTACCAGGCAGTCGCTCTCCCGAGGCCCTGTGCACCCTGCAGCACACTGGTTATGGCAGCAGTCGCTGGGCACCTTTCCCCTGCACCGGCCAGAGCACTGCTGGGCACAGATGACTTTTGTTACTGGAAGACACAATAAAAAAGGAAAACGCATCAGGAATGAAGACCATTTAAGCTGTATTTGCTGCAATGAGATCAGAAAATATAGAGAAAAGGTCTGGTGCAGGATCTGTGCTAGATTTTCCCCATGGGATGCATATTCTATCCTCATCTAAGGCCAAAGCTTGGGAGGGGTGAGACCTGGTGTGGGTGGTGATGAGAAGGGGTTGTGTTCAACCAGTAATTATCTTGGCCCTTGTGAGGTGCTAAGCACTTTGGTCCCAGCCAGCAAACCATGTCCTGCTTAGAAAGAGCATCCAGGTCCCTGTGGCATCAATGCCTTAAACCGTGAAAAACTCCTTAGAGTCCCTGCAGCACACAGCTCGGCAACAGAGCAGGATCTGACCCATTTTGTTCAGAAAATCTGCTATTATTAGTGCTAGCTTTGGGAAAAATGACATGACAAGGGTACTGCCAGGACTCTCTACTATAACAGGAAACTGTATATTGTTGGCATGCGGTTAGGATCCCTTCGGTGCACTAGAAGCACTTCTGCATTGCAGAGAGAGGGGACACCTACTCAGCAAACCCATTTCATACACATGTTGTATTAGTTTAGTTTAGGCTGCAATTCCTTGGCCAAATTTTATCTTCATTACTCAACTCCCACAGAGTTTGCACCGGCGCAGCAACCCGGAGGAAGAACTGGCCCCAGTTCAGCTTTTTTTCAGGGAAGCAAAAACTGCCTGCAACATTTTGTGGAGAATCAGGAAATATTCTCCATTTGAATATCAAAGCATGTGTTTGAACCAGAGACCCAAAATGGGATTGTTTGTTCTCTATAATTACTGATCCACAGACCTTGGCAATAGACATCAGAGAAACCCGATGGCTAATCTGCTGCATTACAGCACCCTGAGCATTTCAGCTGTGCACTACAGTAACTGATACCAACTTCACAGTTGGCACAAATGGGCTACAATATCACCAGGAATTCTTGTAAGTCCAAAGCAGATGGTTGTTAATTAACAGAAAACTATTGGAAAATACAGCCTGCTACGGGGTATATAACAGGGATTTAAAGAAAAAAAGAAAAAAATCCTATTTTTTTTTCCATTACACACTTTTGTATGCAAACTTTATTCTCATTTTTCTTGTAGGCCTGTAAGCAAGGTATTATATTTTCAAAGAAACAGATTATTTCCACAATAGGCATTAGCTTCTCTGATAGCAACTCCTCTATTCAACTAGAAACAGGGCAATAAAAGGCACATTTTTCTACACGAACGGCATTTTGATCTCATTTTTTTCATAGGCATCAGCAGGGGAGTAAAACAGCTCATCATTTTGACAGCTATTGACTAGAGCTTCCTGCTGGAAACACGTACCATGGTAAACATTTGTATTTCATACAGAACTTCTCATGTTTGTGGAAGGAGAAAGATACATACGACCCCAAACTTTCCCACATATGGAAATGTGGGAAACATTTCCAGTTGGCCGGCCTCTCAAATGCCTGGAGAGGAGAGCCAGAGCCTGCAAACGTTTTTGCTTTATGAACTCCTTGTCATCATTCTGAAGCCAGCAAGGGTTTGTCAACGCGGTAAGCTTGCACGGCTGAGACCTGAGGTTTCACAAGCCCCTGGGACAGCTGTGTGGTCTCGACTACAGGGACCAACCTGGTATGGCTTTGTGTGTGCACTGACCACCTCAAACTGCAGGGATGACTGAAAAAACCTAAAGCTTATACACTAAAGGAAGAGAGAAAATCTGTATTTTTCTTTTTCCTGAAGCTCTATACGCCATACAGATTTGGCCTGATACTTGCAGGCAAGAAACTTAGGTTTAGGTGGTTATTTACAATGGAAAACCAAAGATAGGATGCTGATTTCATTTGTCTTATGCCATCAGCAGTCTTTCCACTGAGCTTTACACAATACAAAGAATCAGAAACTGTATTTCCTCACTTATTACAGAAAAGAAAATGATGGAGTGGAGAAACAAGCTGAAATGGTCTTCTAAACTCAACCTTCACTTTAGGAAAAATAAAGCCTTGCAAAACATCAAGAACTTCTAAATGAGGGTTTCTGTAGGCAAGCAAGCACCTAACTTCAACATTTTACAGTAAAGCACAGGCAGCCAAACTGAACAATCTCACAATGCCAAGCAGCTCCATTTACAAATTTAGAAGGGCCATGCATTTTCTGAGAGCCTTCCAAAGGTCCTCTGAGCACAGTACCTAGTGTGATAACCCACATGAAGGTGACATCTTTTGTGTTTACAAAAGAAACCTACAGGGATTCCAAAAAGAGGAATTAAAGCCAGAAAAAGATCAGGTTGTGTTATTGCTTCTAATAGTAAAAATTAATCCAAGGTATCACTAGCTGGCCTGCAGAATGGCTCTGCAAGAAACATCAGGAAGGCAAACAATTCACCACACAGCTACTGTGCTCTCTCTTATATGGTAAAATAACTTAATAAAGGTTCTCAAGTGCAGATCGGAGAAAGTTGTGGGCGACAGACAAAAGCTTTCAGTACAGGGAACAGCTATAGTCTTTTGCCTCTGGAGGAGCACCACATCTGCAGGGATATCCAGACCAAAGCCAAACAACCTCAAGGGTTCCCTTCCAGAAATGAAGCTCCTTGGTGAGAGTGGCCACAGCCATCCTCCCCATGACTATGCTTCCGCAGAGCGGGAAGCAGGCCACATCCATACACAGTGTGCTTCAAGGAGCCCCAGCATAGTGGGATGTAGAGAAGGACAAGTTTCAACACGTCACTAATTTGCACTTGACAAGTCAGTTTTTCAGTAGATAGAACTTCAGTGTGTCAGAGCACACAGAGTATTTCTTAATCTGCAGGCTTACATGTCTGGCAGTTCTGTTCGCCAGGGCCCCAGCAGTGGTCTTCTGTGCAGTTTGGATGGCATTTGGGACCTAAAACACAACAGCAGATTATTACTTTCTATAAACACGCGCTACAACAACAGCATCACGTGAGTCACAGAAAACAAAGAGTTGAGCTTTCCTTCTTGATAAATCAGGGGAGGAAGCTCAAACATTTTGAGAGCTGGACCTTAAACCCTTATACTTTGTTCATCTCTGGTTTCCTACGTGCAGTTCTCCACACCTTTGAGCAAGTGAGCACAATACCCAGCCAGTCTAGCTTACGAAAGAGGCATATTTTTCCCAGGAACAGGAATCTCAGCTACTGCCCGGCTGGCCCTTCTGCTGGAGTTTGCATGCAATGGCAAGTCACCACTGGCTTGCAGCTGGGCATGTGCCAGCTGCTCACTACAGGCCACGTGTAAATCAATGGTACTGAAGAAGGCGGTTCTAAAAGGAAAACAAACCCAACTGGATTTGCAGGCAACTGCAACTACTCCAACCACAAAGAAATTTGACTTGCCTGCCAAAAAACCTCCTTGGTATAAGACTATGTGGCAGACAGGCAGTCAACAGAGAGGTGGCAGGATGGACAGACACCCTGCCTGACCTTGGAGGTTCATAGCCAAGCTCCTTCCCATCCCTCCCTCCTTGCTCTTTTCTCTCTTTTTCTTTCTTTTAATGACCAGCAAAGTCCCGGAGAAACAACTTATTTTAGATTATGGGATCATTATTAAAACCATAAATGACTGTCTTAGAAGATTAATCTGGCATTCACTACATTTAAGAGGCATTTCCTACTACAGTGATTCTTTCTCCAAACACCACGATTCTCCTTCCCCCCATCTCCCATCAAATAGCTGAACAAATGCCAATACTTGTCCAAGAGCTGATTGATTTGGTGTGGGACCAAAGAACTCTTTTCTTTTTTTTTTTAAGTTGAAAAGTTAAAGGTTAACATTTCTGTGATGTTTCGAGCCAAAAATCCTGTGCTGACTTGTATAGTTCACAACTCCTTGATTACGCTAGGGCTGCGCAGAAAAATATGTCAACACAAAAGCTGGCTATCAGCTCTCAGGCAATTATGCAATTGGAAGAAGATAAAGAAAATATGGTTGCCTGCCAATGGATAGAGCCAGAAATTAAATGTTCAGAAATGAAAATAAACTCTCTTTTCTGTGAAATGACTGGGGATTTTGTAAGGCACTCTTAAGGATTAGCTTGAGCCCACTCTAAGCGTATGCTGCACAAACTTTTAAATACACATTCATCTCCCTGCTAAAGCATCAGATTTATCTGCCTGTTTATCATTAATTTTGCAAGGATAATCCGTGCAGCCCAAAACACCAAAACATGTTGAGTTTTATGGCACTCAACATGGGTCTTAGCTGTGAAAAAGGCTTCAAGTCCCATAGTAACTCCACAAAGGCACCCATCTGGGTTTTCTAGACCGGAGCCTTACATTGTAATCAGAAGATGGCTGGAAAGCAAATGAGTGCACGTTAGTCTGAGCTGTCTTTGAAGAACACATATGCAGAGTCCTGTCTGAAACCAACAGAAGCTTTCCCAAGAACTTCATTGAGAGTAATGACCTAACACCATGAAAAATTACATCCTAAGTCAGTGGTGAAGAAATGTTTCCTTGGAACAGGGCTTAGAGGCTCTGCATGCAGGAGGTGGTGGACCTGAAACCCACTGCACGGAAGATGGGATGCTCGTTCTTCCCTCTGAAATGGGGGAGCACATAGCACTTTTGGTAAGTTAATACTCACAAGAAGACAGGTTGCTTGCAAATTCAAGCACCGTGAGGGGCTTCTTGCTGGTGTCAATGATGTCATTCCAGAGAACAGTGTCCATGTTGCACAGCTTGGGGTTGTTGCTGATTTTAACACCTCCATTGAGAATTTCTGCCACAGAATGAAAAAAAAATGGTAAGTGAAGCAAACTGCCCCCGTCTTCTATCTCTGATCTAGAGAAAGGGAAATAAAATACATAGTTGTTTGCCTCAGTCACGCTATGCTGACAGGAAAGGACAATGTGTGCTCCTGATGGTACAACTAACAGCAGGCTCAGACTGATGGGTTCTGGACTCTTGTTTTTAAAGCAGGATCTAATGGCACATGCCTTTGAGAGGAGATCTTCAACCAGCTCTTGACACCAATAACCTAACAGTTGAAGTTTGCTTTACAGGTGCCTCCACTTGTAGCCCTTGCCTCACCTGATAGCCGCTTCATCGGCAGCTCTCGGAGTCCCTGGGTTTTATTCATGTGGTAATTGGATAAAATTGCCAGGGCATAAGAGTTGTCATAGAGCACATTTCCTCGGATGATCTGGAGGTTTTCTAGGGGAATGACATCCACCATGTTAAGCGCGATGAGCACGTAGCCTGCAACCTCCTGTATCGTCTGAAAGGACAACAGAAGAAACAAGGTGTTTAATCCACAGCATTTTCTACACTTGTCAGTCATTTTCGTGCTCTCATCTTTCAATTTAAGGAGCAACACATCACTTAATCTCATTAAAAAATAAATATAAGAACAAGAAGGGACTATGACGAAAACTTTGCTGTCTAAGCAGGCGTAAACTGAGCAAATACCAGGGGGCCATTCCAAAGGTCCAGTTTACCCCTGTTCTGTCCTAGGGACTTCCTAAGGGGTGCAGAAGAACAGATGCAAGCATGTACGGTATGGCAAGTGTGATGCTTCCCCTCAGTGTCTGTCCAGCCTTTAACCATTGGCAGCACAGAGATGCCATCTGATTGAGGCTTTGACACTGTGTCCCTTCCCTTGCAGATCCTCCTATGCTCAGCAGAGGAGAAGATGAGGTACCTTCTCACTCTTAAGTAATAAATAGTTATAGGATAGAGACAAGTGACACACTGTCCCTGGATGCAGGTTAATTCCTGCCTTATATTGTGAAATGTGCATATCTTTCTCCTACAAGCATCAGCATAAATGAAAAACCCTCAAGCTACCGCTCAGGATATTTTCCTATTCTATGAAGACTACCAGTGAGTTTTCAAGAGACGTATTTTGTTCCTGGGAACATTGAGCTCCATGGTCAAGTTGTGCTTGGGAAAGAAAAATGGCAATACCATCATATTTGTAACCCATACGTCTGAACCACCTCTTTTCTGATGTTCTTGCTTTTTACTATAATGAGATGGTTTTTGCTCTTTCTTTGTTTCCTAAGAAGAAAAGCTCACACAAAGACATTACTCCTCTCAGTCCAGAGGACTAACCTGTTTATTCCTACAAGAGCTACCACACAAGAGCTCTTGATACTAGACATACACTTAATATGTCAAGAAACCTTCTTCCTCTACTGCTTCCTCCTTTGGAAACCTCCTAAACTAATAACCAGTTAGGTAAAAAGCATTTAAAATGTCTTCTTTAAAATATGTATATATATACATACATATATATATATATGAAGGTGTGATGTTATTGCCACTGGTGGCAGCCTGGCAGTGGGGAGCAGAGTTGTACCCCTTACCTGGTCTCTGTTGGTGGAGAACCTGAAAATGCCCATGGCAGAGAGTGCTCCTCCCCGTGCCATGGATGCATTTTAGCATCCATCCCCTGCCTGTTCTCCTGTCAGCTTGCCATGGTCACAGCTTGGAGGGCAGGGTAAGGGCCTCCACACCTCAAAACCTGCCATCAGTGGGTTGCCACTCACTAGTGCTTTGCTTTGCCCAACAACACCAGAAAGCCTTTTGCCCTCTGAGAAGTGAGGTGATGGCTAAGGATGTAATTGTATCTGTAAATAAGAAGAAACCATCTGCATGGCAGCCAGAACAGGCTGGCAAGTGCTTGAAAAGCTATTTCTCAACGTACCTGATTTACTAAGTCTGAGCATATCCTGCAGCCTACAGGCGTATCAAGACTGTGATCTGCAATTTCTCTGACATTAGCGAGCTATGTTTTTGGATCACCACATAACTTTATAGGTAGCTGATCCTTTACACTTAAAAAAATGCAGTCATATTCCTTTAGCAGGAAGACAATATTGGCCAAGAACACTAACCTTCAGGAAAGACAGGTCACGATTGTGCTCCACATATGTAATCTCCAGGTTGCTGAGTACCACCTCGCAGTTGTTGTACATCCTCTGCAGGCTGGTGAAATGATCTTCCACATGTCCCAGTTGGGTCAGCTTGTTATTTGTCCCTTGACAAACTGTGGAGGAAAGGAAAAAGCTCCATGAAGAAAAACAAGAATAAATGCAGGGTTAAGACTTGTTGGCCACAAGCAACACAGGAAGTGAAGCATCACTAAAGATCCATAAGAAACAAGAACTTTATCTTGCATGACCCTAATGGCAACAGCTCTCGCATGAACAGGGATGTACTGGAATTAAGAGCTGGAATAACCCTCCATCACTTTCTGTTTTATGGTTTTTGTACATAAGCAGCACTAAGTTTTCTGTGTCACAAACATAACTCAGTTCCTGAGGAGTGGCCATTGATACAGTGCCCTCAAACACTTACGGAAGTGGTGTGCTGCCAGCTATCACCAAAGGCGATTTCCCCCAGGACTCACAGTATTTTCAGGGGCATTGAGTTTCTTTGTAAGTGAGCAGGGGTTCCTGCAGGAACCCTCAAGCTACAAGAGCGGGTTTTAAGAGCAAGCTGAACCTCCATGGCTCACACATCTCTTGCCATTCTGACATACTTGCTGTATGATTCAGAAAGATTTCAGAAAGATATTCAGCTTTGGCACACAAATCCACCTAAGCCTGCTTTGCTGGTGGGGAAGGAAGCAGCGCCACATAGAGCACCACCAAGATTACAAACATGTATATTGGAGTGATGGAAAAATTCTATTACTCTGCTTTAGCAAACCTAAAGGAACTGACAGAAGTTATCACTGCTGCATTCAATTGCAATGAGAGCACAAAATGCAAATGCTTTGAAGAAAAAAACACCACACACAACCCCAGAAACTCTGTACTCATCCAGTCATTCCCTGGGTTATCCCTACACAGCTGAAATTAAAACATCTCTAAGCCATGCTGTCACAGAGGAACTGAGAACAATACAGAAGGCAATGTGGTAAAAACTTAACACCTTCAGGTGGAAAGCTTCAGCCCAGCTTTGCTCTTCTGTGGGAGCAAAAGGAAGCTGTTACCTCATCGCCACTGTAACGCGACCCCAGCCTGAAGTTCATGGTTTTCCATAACACACTGAAAGAATGGCATTCCTTTAACTTGGAGAAAATAATAAATGAAACTATACTTTTGTGAAGCCATAATTCCTAGAAGCACCAGTCACAAATGGGAACATCACTGAGTGGGGTGCTGTAAAGCAAATAAAGCTGGAAGCAAGTGTCGGACCTAGTAACATAAGACAACACCTGTTGAAGATTCAAACAACTGATGTTTTATTAGTAGGGAAAATAACTTAATAAGCAGTGATAAAAACTTCCTTATCAATCATCAAAACCATTCACTGAACATGTGTTATTTCTAGTACAGTCACCACCATTAAAGAGCTACAGTGATAACAGATTAAATACTCTTCATCATTGTTTAAAGCAAGGCTATTCACTCGCATTCCTCAGTTATTTCTCATTATACGTTCAGATAAACATTATGGTGCTTGGGATCAGTGGCAACCATTAGTAAATGGGGACATTTTAACAGGGGCTGTGATGACACCATGTAAGCTGTTCCTACATGAGCCTCAAGAGTAGAAATGATCTTTTTTACAATTGCCTTGAACTTCTGTAACAGGAGAACTTTCTAAGCAGATTTTCAGTTTCAAACTTAACTGTTCCCATGTGCTTAACATCTGCACTTGCCCCCTCCTGCCTCAAGTATGAGGGCCACAAGTTATTAGTCAGAGTCACAGGAGGGGTCTTATTCTCTGGGGTGGTCACGTGTTGAAGGTAGAAAGTTAGATATATTGTCATATGCTGGTCTGCCCTGGGAAACGTGGTGTTGTTGGGGACAGGGTGAAGAGGCTTTGAACTGACTAGAAAAGTCAGAGTTGTCCCAGAGGTCATCGTGAATTTTAAGCTATGTTATCCTTCAACCAAGGAAAAAGCCATAGTAATAAAAGATTCCCAGATGGTTCAAAACCTCAGCTTGGATGCTCAGTTTAGGCATATCAGATCTGATCTCTGAAACAGTGATTTTGAAACGCACTCAAATACAGTGCAGGAGCAGGTAGAGTTTAGAGTGCTCCCAGAAACGAAGACATGTAAGTCAGCCTGTTATGGTCTTCAGGGTTTACAAGTGGCCTGATGCTGTTGCTGCATCTTCAGTGTTAACAGCAAAGATCTGTTCTGGTACTCAAGACAGGCTCTATGTGACAGCTTCAGTGTTTATACCACATCTGAACCAAAGGAAGTGGGGAAAGAGGAGCCTTCTCTCGCAGCATCCTCCCGGTCACCCCGTGCCCATGATTGACCCTACATGGCTTGGCACCGGTCTGATCATGCAACAGGACAACCCAACTCACTGCAACAAGTCCTAGGAGAAATGGCACATATTTGAATGTGCTTCCCTTGGGATCAGAGAATCATTAGAGCTCTGAACTTGGGTCAGCTGTCTTGAGAAACACAGACACTGCTTACTAGGTCAAGGCTGATGCAGCACGCTGAAGGCATGGTTACTCTTGCACATCTCCCTCTCCCTTTTCCATGTGACTGCTCAGTGAATCGTGCCAAAGACTTGATCCAAGCTACAAATAATGCAGTACAATAAATAAATAAATGGATAGATGGTATTTTTAGCTCAGGAAGACTTGCTGATTTGGTTCACCATGCTACCCCATGAACCGCTGCACTGGAAACAGCTCTGAGGACAGTGAGGATGCAGGAGCAAATACATAGTCAAGAGAAAGAGCTTGCCAGCTTGTGAATCTGCAGAAGGAAATCTAGACATAATGAGGTCCAAAGAGGCTTCAGGTTGGTCCTCCAGGACCTACTTTCTTCCCCTGTTCTGTGCATAGAGAGAACTTTGATGGCTCTCTACCAAAGGTGTGCACCATGCAAAGGTATGTCACATACAAAACCACTTGTCGCCTCCATCAGGTTCATCACATCCTCCACGCAGCAAACTGTACATGTAGACAGAATCTTAGTTAAGATCCAGAAAGCAAAAGAGGGTTGCTTCTGTTAAGACCCCAGCAGGATATGGCCAACAGTCAGACCACCCTATAGGACAACCCTCTGCACAAAGTTTTTTATTTGATCAGAGGGATACAAGGCCAAAACCTTGTTCGCTGCAAAAAGATCTATGTACATCCAGAAAGTGAACTTCATCACAGCAGTGTTTACCAAAGGAGAACTCGGGTCATAATCAGTATATGCTGAGCAAATAAAACCCAAACCAAACAAGCTAACCCCCTGCAGCAATATTTACTGAACTCAGGCAAAGGTGCTGAAAACATTTCCAATTAGAACATTTGGAAAGAAAAGAAAATGGCCTGCTTGCATCTGATGAATAATACCATTCCTCAATTTCTCTGCTTATGAAAACTGTGTTCTGAAAAAGATACACACTATAATTATCTGTATATTACAGTGTGAATGCCATCCTAGCCAGAGGCAAAAGCACAATGAGGTGCTCGCCTCGCTCCACAGAGTTTTAAGTGGGACGTGCATGCTTGAGTGGATGGATTATATTATGACTTAACCTCTACTGAGCTTGACCTACTTGTCCTCCAAAGGACAGTTTTTGACGCCACATGCATTCATTATGTAATTTTGTTTCAGTGTGTAGCAAAGCCAGTGCTATTCAAGATTAGGAGTCAATGGTGGGCATGGGTGCTTGCATGGTACCAGTGGGAGCTGTGGGTAGTACGCATCACATAATATCTGTTTCATGTGGACACTTACACATGAATGCAGCACATTTTACCTACAAAGGAGAGCAAAAAACAGGTAAGTTTCCTGATGAAAATTCAGGGTGAGAATGTCTGTGACCAATAGAAAAGCTGAGATCTGGGCTGGAACTAGATGAGCTTTGAGGTCCCAACCCAAACGAGTCTGTGATTTTATATCCCGAGAGATGCAAACTCCCTGAGTTCTAGTGCCTATTTAAAATGCAGGACTGGCTGCCCTGGATACTAAAATCCTCTCTGTCCACAGACGTGCTTGTTCCACTTCTCTGCCTTAAATGTGGCCTTAGAGGAGTATTTCTAGGCGATGCAAATGGGCTGACCCTCTGCAACCCTCTGCTCCTTGGCCTCTTTTTTCTTGTGCAGCCCGAAGAAGAAGAATGAAACCAAAGCATTTCCTAAGTGGCATTTTCCACAAGTGATTGTAGGGAGACAGAAAACATTCATCCAGATGTAACACTAAGCGACTATATTCTCCCAAATACATACAAGCTCAGATTAAACAAAGTGGTCCCTGCAGCAATTGCCCTGATACAAGTGAAATCTGTTTTCATCCTTTCCCCAGAAGATCTCTGATTACTGTGGTCTCAATCCTGTCACGCATATTTGTCCCAGACTTGGGAAAAAACCCGGAGAATGCTTTGAAACCAAGTTATCACCAATCCCCAGATCATCAGCTGTTTCCACCCATGCTTAGCCTGCATTAGTCTCCCTGCAGCTCTGACAGACACATCCAAATAATAACTTGGAAACGCAATTTCAGAGCCATGCAAGTCCATTTCCATGCTTCATATATCACTTATAACTCTATACGCCCTGACGTAATAAATGTATATACTTTTCCTACGTGTTTTCCAGCCATTGTGGACAATAACACAAAACCTGCAGACAAGAGAGATTTGTTTAATCCGCCAGCACATTTAGAAATATTCCTCTCTTCTCTCTCATTGGCAGCAATTTCAACTTTCATTTTGGTTTTAGGCATTTCATGAAAGAGCAGTACCTTCCCAGGCACTTGGTCCAGATACAAACCTGCCTCTAAAGGCCAGGGCAGATAGTGGTCTGTGTCCTACCATCAGTGCTGCCCACAATCAATTCATCTTGATGAGAGCATGGGGAACAAAACCACTTTCAAACAAACTGGAATCATTTTGTAAGAAATACTGCTCAACATGGGTCTGTATGGGCAATCATGTCATCCCAAAACCTTGCCCCCTGTACCCCCTGCGTCAGCCCTGCACAACACATGGGGGATCCTGGCCATGCCCTGCACCTCCACACTCCTCCCTAGGAGAAGAACTGTTTCCCCCATTGCAAGGGCTGCCACTGACC